ATTATGTTCCTAGGTTTGTCGGCACCATACCATTGCTCGTGGGTTTCATCTTTGTTGTTTAACGCCGCACTCAGCAATATTACAGCTATATGAAGACGGTCTGTAAATAATCGAGTCTGGACCAGACAATCCAGTGATTGACATCATGAGCATGGACCCAGGCAAAAGGGATACGATGGCATGCACCAACCAAGTCAGCGTGCCTGACCACCCGATCCCGTTAGTCGCCTCTTACGGCAAGCAACGCTCCATCCACAAGTGGGGGTCGTTTAATTAACGAATGCGCTTAAAAACTGTGATACTGTGTGTCATAATAATACGTGAAAAAAGGCACAGGTCGAAGTTACAAAATAAATTCCTGAGGCCAAACCAATTCACATTGCCCGTTTTACAGAACCGACCTTCACCCATCAGCCGTTTTAAAAAATAAATAAAGCAAAGGGAAATTATCGTATCAAGTAATCTTTTTTTATATGTTGACTTTCTTAATCTTCTCCCGCTCCCTCATGAAAAGACACTGTCCCTGGAAACGTGGGAGTGTATTATAAAAAAAGGTAATACAGTAATAGCACAAATGCGGTAATAATCTGGTCATTATTTCTAAATATTTTAAAAGGATTTTGTTTGTTTTCACTTCTGCCTTCGGGCATTTTGGGGAAAACCTTTAAAACAATTAATGAAATGAATCTTGCCTGTTTGTTGTTTAACGGTTCCCTCAGCAATATCCAAGTTATATGACGGCGGCCTGTAAATAATCCGAATATGGACAAGACAATCCAGTGATTGATATTATGAGCTACGATCCACGTGGTCGGGGTACGAGGACTAGGATTCGACTAAGTCACAGAGTCTGATCACAAGTTCCATTCTGTCTCCTCGTATGACCAGCATAGGTCGCTTTTTAGGGAGCTATTCTAATTCAGAATCCCGAGGGTTCCTATAGTTTTGGGTTTTTTTACCATTTGTACACCTAATTTATTCAAGGGAGTGTCAGTTTAATGTGACTTGGTTTTGGACTTGTACCATTTTGTCCACACCTACCATGAGTATGCTGTTTGCCGACAGATCAAGGGTCACAATCAGAGCAATTCTATGATTCATATCCTCAACCACCACAGAAGATGACTTCTAGCGCTACCCATGAAGATCCGGGTTAGAATAGGTCTCCAGCAACCCATGCTTGCCGTCTTCCAGGCTCGGGTGGCAGGCTGCCGACTTGGTTATAAGGCATGTCATCGTATCCCAATTGCGTAGATCGATGCCCATAATATCAGTCAGTGGATTATCTGGTCGACTCGCTTTTTTAGACCCCCGTCATAGAGTTGGAAAACTGCCGAATGCGGCGCTAAACAAACACACACTCCTAGCTCCTTTGACCCCAGTGTTTGGTGACCTTCAAGTGAAAACACATCACTTGCAGGTGGGTGGGTGAGTTCGTTAACACCCATTGTACAGTATGTCAGTCATACTTCCTCATGCTTGATGTAGGAGGAAAGCCCGAGTGATGCAAGCATTAGACCTTTACCAAATTACCTCATTAGAGCAACAACCAGCAGATATCGTGCTGACAATCCACGAAACAAAGATAGTGCGAATCAGTTATTCCAAGCCGGCAATATTCCAGTTATATGACGGAGGCATGTAAATAATCCAAATATGGACGAGACAACCCAGTGATTGATATTATGAGCTACGATCCACACGGTCAGGGTACGATGACAGGTAATCAACCAAGTCCTGACAACAAAGACAGTGCGAATCAGTGATTCCAAGCCAGCCTCATGCAGTAAATTCAGCCTTTAGAGAACAGAGCTACTGGTGCCCCAACCTCACTGCTTACTAAGGCAACAGAGAACAGAACACACATCCATACTTAACATTGCCCTTTAATAGTTTTAGGATGGCTACATCCAAATTAATGAACACAAAGGAATTTACTTCCAACCTAATTACAAACAGTGAAAGCATGTAAACTTATTAAATCAGCATTTTGCAAATGCACCAACAATGAGCTCTGTCAAAACCGTCTTGTATTTTGACATGCATGAGTGAGTGAGTGATTGCGGTTTTACGCAGCTTTTAGCAATATTCCAGCAATATCAGGCTGGGGAACACCAGAAATGTCCTTCACATATTGTGTCTATGTAGTGAGTGAGTGAGTATGGTTTTACACCGCTTTTAGCAATATTCCAGCAATATCACGGCAGGGGACACCAGAAATGGGCTTCACACATTGTACCCAGTCTATGTAGTGAATGAACCCGGGTCTTCAGTGTGACAAGCAAACAGCTAACGCTTTAACCACTAGGCTACCCCACTACCCAATTTTGAAATGCAAATTCCAGGTAAGACTTACACTGACCAACAATAAGGAAACCATTTTAAGCACCAAATGGTATAGATTTTATAGATAATAAAAAATTATTTCTTTTAAGTCATTTAACTTTAGACATTCCTTCTACTCCATGATATAAATAATGGTGAATGAAAAAGTTTGACCTACACAGAAAACATAAGGACCATAATCTGGAGTGAATCTGGGAATGGAACCTATGATCACCAGATCCTTATAGGTAAGGGACACAACTCTGCACTGCTACTTTATTTTATGTCTGGTTGTTTTTTTAGAGAGTGAGTATGGTTTCACACAGCTTTTAGCAATATTCCAGCAACATCACGGCAGGGGTCACCAGAAATGGGCTTCACACATTGTACCCATGGGGGAATCGAACCTGGGCCTTCTGCATGATGAGCTAACGCATTAACCACTTGGCTACCTCACCGCCCAGATCATTTAGAAAACAATTATAGGTCTAAAATGTCATTTCTACTTTAGGTATGTTGTAAAATGACCATAAATAAAATATACTAAAAGTAAATCCCAAACCTAACTGTTTGGGGGAATGACTTGTTTGGCAAGGCCAGTCAGTAATATATTAGCTTTATCATGGTACACCCTAAGCAAATCAAGCCTGGACCAAACAAACCAGTGATTGATATTCCGAGCAGCATCCGACTGTCTCCTTTTTCTTAAAAGAAGAAAGAAGAAATTTCAGAGGATTCTCATATCAAAAACATTTTTTTCAGGAGTTTCTAATTATTTGAAAAAATCCCCAAATACAAATGATAAGATTTTTTGTCTTATTGATAATTCACAATATCCAAAGACAATGGCCCATGATACTGACTGTACTTCTGCTGGTGGCTGCCAATGAACTAGACAAGAGAAGATGTCCCATATAAATTCTTATTTAATTCTCAACTTTTGACTGAAACACTGCAGCAAAATGTAAATGCAATCATCACTAACACACTAAAAATGTTTAAACAATGCAAAGGGTTTTAATTAATAAACTTAAATAATAATTGATATTCCGAATAGGAAAATTTCTGGGTTGATAAAATTAAATGATGCATTTGAGAAATGGGTCTGGGTTGTCTTAACGTCTGAAGAAAAGGATGATGTCACTATGCATAATTGAGAAATATTTCATTTACAATTTTTTTCATAACTTGGATTTCTAACCCATAGTAGGTATTCTTAAATGCACCAATTTTTATAAACAAGAACTGCCTGACTAGAAACAAAAGTACTACCCAATGCTACATATGAAAAAATCCATACGACATAGGAATGCTGATACAAGATTTATATTAGACATATCACCATCACAGATTAAATACAAGCGCTTGAACAGCATATAAACATATATCACTAGTGTCAGCTCCATTATTCAAGAAACTACTACAAATAGAGTGAGTGAGTTGGGTTTAACACAGCTTTGAACAGTATTCCAGTAATATGATAGCATTAATGTGGGAAGAAAGCCCAAAGTGATACAGGTCATAGATGTTTTACCACTTTGGTGAAACCCACAAGCACGGATATGGTGCAGACAAACCAAGAAACTAAATCAGGGCGAATCTGGATTCCAACCCACAATTCATAGGTCACTGGCAACACAACTGTTACAGGATGTCAGGCTGGTAGGCAGGGGAATTGTTTTTTCTCTAAACAATTATTTGTTTGTTGTTTAACGCTGCACTACGCAATAAGACGGCAGTCTGTAATCATCCAAGTCTGTGAGTCTGACCACCCGATTCCGTTAGTCTTATGACAAGCATGCGTTGCTGAAGACCAATTCTTTCTTGAGAATTAAAACGATTACTGATGAAGATACAGCCAATGATTTGGGGAGTGAAAAAAGAAATACTACCCAAAAGGAGTTAAAGAAGCCCTAATTATTTCATACGACTACAGTTCATCCTACAGTTCATCCGTCATGGCTGGTGGGTACACAGCCTTCCAATTGTGGTTGTTCTATAGTTTGTTTTGAGTAAAGGTAGTAGTGTTTATAAAAATAATTAAAGCTGGCAAAACACTGTGGTCAGCTGGTCCAATTTTGCACGGTTGGTTGCAAATGCTATTTTTTCATTTTGGCCGGACAGTGACAGCCATTTACATCAGTGTCGGAAATAATGCATCAACAAAGATATAGACTTAAAAAAAAACAACACCTATGGTGGTATTACAACTGTGAATAAATGAGCCAGTACATCTCACAAGTTGATAAACAAAAGGGAGAACTCATTTCTTAACTCAACTTCCAATATACAATGTGACACAGGGCCCCTTACCAGCCACCTTTGCTGAAAAATGTCAATATTTCGTGATCACTATAATTGGTTCCCCTCCAACTCAAATGTACAGAAAATGATAACACTTATTATATAAGGCTACCTAATATAAAGAGCTAAATATTAGAGGTGTGAAACATAGGGAGGCTATCCATGCCACACAATTTAGAGGGGTCACTGAACAATTCTGCATCAAGGGCAGAATATTTGAAGCCAATGGCCCGCTGACATCTTTTTTTCACCAACAGGTAGATCCAATGTTTGTGGTGTGGTGTGGTGTGGTGTGGTGTGGTGTGGTGGCATGGCATTTTCAAAATCTGCAATCCACCTCTGTGAAAATATGCATAACTTTCAAAACATGATTTTCAGAGTCATTTTTCAGTTTATTTATATACCTATTAATAAATCATAAATAGCTTTCAATGGACAAACAGCGCCTGGAGGAATATTGTTTACTTGTGGCTCTGTTGGCTACAGAGGTACAGTTCTCTTAACACTGGAGGGACCACAAGGGCAGTCAGATGTTTATTTCTTAAATCTGCCCCAGTAAAAATGCAGCTCTTTGAATACAAAACGATAAATAACAAAACCTTCGTGCTGACTATTCTAAAAACTTAATGTCACAAGATGTATACACAGTACAAAAGTATTACGTTGAACCTATTCGAATGGAGACATGCAGTCTCTGCTTTAGGTCTAACTGACAAGAATACATAATCAAAATAGATACACAGAAACCCCAGATGTGGTTCCCGGTCCATCAAAACCATGGTAACACAAGATGACAATCCTGGTTCACCATAACCATGGTAACACAAGATGATGATCCTGGTTCTCCATAACCATGGTAACACAAGATGACGATCCTGGTTCTCCATAACCATGGTAACACAAGATGACGATCCTGGTTCTCTATAACCATGGTAACACAAGATGATGATCCTGGTTCTCAATAACCATAGTAACACAAGATGATGATCCTGGTCCTCCATAACCATGGTAACACAAGATGATGATCCTGGTTCTCCATAACCATGGTAACACAAGATGATGATCCTGGTTCTCCATAACCATGGTAACACAAGATTATGATCTGGGTCCTCCATAGCTGTGGTAACACAAGAAAATGATCCTGGTCCTCCATAACCATGGTAACACAAGATGACGATTCTGGTCCTCAATAACCATGGTAACACAAAATGATGATCCTGGTTCTCCATAACCATGGTAACAAGATGATCATCCTGGTCCTCAATAACCATGGTAACACAAGATGACGATCCCGGTCCTCCATAACCATGTTCACACAAGAAAATGATCCTGGTTCTCCATAACCATGGTAACACAAGAAAATGATCCTGGTCCTTTGTAACCATAGTAACAAGTCTCTTCACTGACTACATGTACTTGTATACGAGGAAGGCTGGTGTGCCACTGTATTTTGTGGCGAACTGTTTACCATCAGTTGTGGGGTCGGAGAAGGCAACTTCGTCTTTATCAATGAGGACACCATGTTCGAATACTTGTCTGTAAAATAAAGAAAATAACAATATGACAGGCAAACTAGTAGACCAGTAACCAGTAACATTCAATGAAAGTATCCAGGAAAACAAAGATCAGCGTAGTACGTAATTATGTCCAAAACAAGCTCTAGTTACATACGCCCGTAGCAAGAATTACAGATGGCCATCACAAGTTGATGACTGCAGTGTTGATCAGTGGATTCCCCTTAAAATTTGCATATTTATTACATCATGGAATTCTAGCTTCAGTGAATTATATGTCCTAAGCGTTTAGACAGTCAGTTAACAGTGGATATTTGTGTTTCGGTCAATCCGTCCAGCACTGACCTGACGGTGTCGACAAGTCGAGAGGCGATCCCTTTACGCCTGTACATGTTGCACACCCACAGCCTGCTGATTCCGACCAGGGCGGGTTCTGGCTCCGTCTCACAACACCAGGGCCGCCCAGTACGGGAGATCACCTGACTCCCGCCTCCCTGGCTCTCGGGAATAACTCGGTAACCCTGACACAAACACCATTATGATACAAAATCACTAGAATGCATCTTACATTTCATTAATATTAGCTACTGGTAATATTTGGTCATTCATGAAAACCAAGTCAACTTGCTGTTTATTTTAATTCTACTTAACACACAACTTCAGTTTGTCCAAAACAATCAAGTAATATTTTAAAGAGTCATCTTTCCTTTAATCACTTCAATGGTGGAGGTGTAGTCATGGTAAGGATACGATACGTATCCCGATACTATGGGTGTGATACGATTCGTATCTTGATACAGTATGTTTATTTCAGAAGCTGATATTCTCCCTTTTGCAGGTGAATCACCTGAAACCATGAATAATTTTTTTTAAATTTCAGAGATTGAAGATGGGATGTTGTTGGGCTAGAAGGCACTGTGTATGTTAAGCTATTTAAAGAAATACTCGAGAATCTGCATAAGCTGGTTGTTGAACTGTTTATGTTGTTATTCACATTACACCATTAACTTGTAATGTAATTGAATATATCGCTATAGAGGGGCCGTAAATCGATGAATTGTGAGTACCTGAATGAGTGAGTATGGTTTTACGCTGTTTTTAGCAATATTCCAACAATATCACGATAGGGGACACAAGAAATGGGCTTCATATATTGTACCCATGTGGCGATTTCAAACCTGGGTCTTAAGCGTGACGAGTGAATGTTTCAACCACTAGGCTACCCCACCGCCCCTTTTGTATCATGGACCTCATATCCATGATATCGGGATACTATACTGTATCGCCGTATTGTTACATAACTATCTGATTATAGTTTGTAAGCAGGAATCTACATCAACATGATCAAAGAATCAGGATTTCTTTAGACCATTCTTGTTTTCACTTGAGTCACAAACATGCACAACGAGAAAGGTTCAAATCAAAGCCCTTAGACAATCATCCGTTTTTTCACAGAAAGCATTTCTGAAAGGACTCCGCCACTACAGATCTGTTGGACGGCTGCCAGTACACACCTCTGTTATGGACTCTGCCACTACACACCCTTGCACTTCCTTCTCGTCTGAGACATACAGAAACACCTGGAACAAAGGGAAGACAACTCAGGGCAACCCTTAAAATAATAGTCACTCGCCCATCAGCCGCACCAAATCTACCCTGTGTTGATGGTGAAATAATTCAGGCCAATAAAATATTTATTTTTATTTTTTATTTTTTTTATAAATTTTTATTCAGTCATATACACAGGATACATATGCACTCGAAAAACAGTACAGCTTTATGAGTACAGGTACTTCTCAAAAGGATGTGGTACAGAGGAGGCCTAAGGAATAATCCACATCATGGTACAGATGAAGGCATATTTATGTATACAATTAAGAAGATGCGGTATTTATGGTACATCAATAAAATATTAATCAATTCTTGATAACCTCAGTCTCATTCGGTGTAAACAAATTCATTTCAGTGAGAAAAATCAGTCATTTTTTTCTGTGTTGTCTACCAAGCGGCAGCTTTTGACTTGGGCAGGAGGACAAATGGTTCTAACAGGCAGGAGCTAATTTCTGTCCTACTATGCCATGTTTGGACTTTCTTATCATGAAAATAAAAACTGCTACATGAAAGAAAGTAGGTAGGACAGTATTTCAATTTTACAAAAACTATTCCAGCGCTGAAATATAAGTCAAAGAGAAAGCACTGTCGGTCACTGGACAAAGGGAGGTAATTCAAGCACTCACTGTTTGAAGTACAATAAAATACATCATCATCATCATCACCTTATCATATCCTACACAGCATATAGGGTTGAGTTTTTCCCAATACCAACAATGTCTTGACAAAAATAAATGAAAGTGCTTCTGACAACCAACAAAAATAATCGTCAACCAACTGACAATTCTAAAAAAGCCTTTGTTTGATATTGGTACCCCTATACAGTATATTCTTGTATGCATTGTTGGCAGTGTTACCTGAAGGGTAGATTTAACAACAATTTTTTATGTAGCCAGCAGGGCTTGCTTCTTTAAAAAATTACTGGCCTTTCTATAAACTGTCCTAAATGTTGGAGGTTGAGAAGTGGCTGAACCTGAGGTCATGTAGGGCTCTCAAAATTTTAGAACTCCTCACCCAAAAATGCATTTTGCTGCACTCTGAGATTAAACCTTGGCTTCTATTTGTCTCATTTCGTAGTAGGGACTTATCAGCAAAAAAGATGTTGTTGTACACAACAATACCAAAATGACGGCTGGTTGTCATTCCACCAAGATGATAAAATTAAAAAAATTAAACATACAGAGAAGGGGTGAAATTTTGACAAGCCAGACGGGCCATCTACTTTACATTTCAGCAAGCCCTTTGTAATTCTAATTGGCCATGGGCCAACAGGCCAGCAGTTAAACGACCCCTGTACCTTGAGGTGTGGCTTGTACCACACTGTCTGTTCTGGGAATCCAAGGTCCATGCTCATCACCCTGTTGATCTCCTCCACCTGTAAACAAGGCACAAGTTAGCATTTCATAATCACAGTAATCTTATTCAGTCTACCAACATATCGCCAACCCCTTCTCTCCACCACCCCCGCCCCTATCAATCTGTCTCTAATCATCATAAGACTGTTGTAATCGACGATTTCGCGGACGATTTTCCACGGAGGTGTAGATGTTTCATTTTCAACACGGTAATCGGGAAACAAACGGGCTTTCGCATAATGTTTTTGGTTTTTACATTGGTGGAGATTTACAACCTGACAAGACGCTCAAAGTATCCAGTGCGCAATGTCAACAAAACAGCCGCCATGGAAATTTTGTAAAAAATCGCATATTCAATACGTTTGCCGAGCTATAAACTACTGTTAATCACGTTAATGCTTTACAATATTTACATAGACAGTTAGGGAAATGGTTGTGCTGTTATAGTGTGAAATTTGAAAATTGTGGGTTTTATCGTTGTTACGTTACTTCGTTTTTAGACGAAAGTGTGCAGTTTCCAGAACGTCACTTGCAAATAAACTCGGCACAGCGATAGTACACAGGCTATTTTTAGGTGGCAGCCAGAGGGTTAACACCACACTCAGCAATATTCCAACTACATGACGGTGGCCTGTACATAATCGAGTGTGCACCAGACAATCCAGAAATTGATAAGTAAGCAGCGATCCACACCGTCAGGGTACGAGGACATGCAATCAACCAAGTCACCTGGGGATCCATTTGGGTCACTTTTACGACCAGCATAGGTTGCTGGGGTCCTATTCTTACCGGGAATCCTCACAATACGATAGGATACGTTGCTGGGGATCTATTCTAACTCCAAATCCCCACAATGTGATAGGATAGGTTGCTGGGGATCTATTCTAACCCCCAATCCCCACAATGTGATAGGATAGGTTGCTGGGGATCTATTCTAACCCCCAATCCCCACAATGTGATAGGATACGTTGCTGGGGATCTATTCTAACTCCAAATCCCCACAATGTGATAGGCTAGGTTGCTGGGGATCTATTCTAACCCCCAATCCCCACAATGTGATAGGATAGGTTGCTGGGGATCTATTCTAACTCCAAATCCCCACAATGTGATAGGATAGGTTGCTGGGGATCTATTCTAACCCCGAATCCCCACAATGTGATAGGATAGGTTGCTGGGGATCTATTCTAGCCCCGAATCCCCACAATGTGATAGGATAGGTTGCTGGGGATCTATTTCTAACCCAGAATCCCCATGATATGACCAGTACAGGAAGCTGGGGACCTATCCTAAGCCAGAATCCCTATGATACGACCACCACAAGTTCCTGGAGACCTATTCTAACCCAGAATCCCTATGGGGTAGAGACAGTGAGGACAACAGACAAACAAGCAGCGTACCTTCTTTGTTGCATACTTGGGATCTTGTGACAGGACAACAACAATCCTTCCGCCATCGTCTGGAAACTCCTGCACAACCCGTTCTTTCTTCCAACCCTGACACAACAACACAGCAACTTTGTATTATGCTTGTATCATCTCTGGTACCTACCTTGAGAAACGCAATTACTTTTCCCGAATTCAATTTCTGCAGAACAAACTCAACTGCTTCCAAAACAATGGTAACTACCGTATTCGGCATAATAAGCGCCCCGCTCTAATAAGCACCCATTTTTGCTAATATATTGGCTTGTGAACAATCTCAATTAGCACTCCTTCTGATTGATCAATGTACACAAGACTTTCACCTCTGTTTTTTTCCACCAAAAAAAACTTCTAATAAGAGCCCTCTATTTCTAATTTTGAGATTAACGTCGAATACGGAATATGATTATGACCAGGCTTGTTAAAATGTTAAAATCCAAACAGCTTTCATTATAACATATACCATCGGATCCATTTTCATAGAATATATATATAGCATTGTAATCTTTGAGAATATAGCAAGTCCTGCATAAGCCAATGGTTCAACAATATCAGCTTTGAGACTGATGAAGACAACATTGTTTGCTCTACATTCATCTTAAAATATAATGCTTTCTGCTGTTGATCAAGACTCACAGGAAAGCTGAGTGCACTCATGAATGTCAGGTGTATCTTGGCATGGTCTGCCTCGTCACTGGGATCGCCCTGGTTGTACAGCATGTTGCAGGTCTCGCACTGGATGGCTCCGATCTTCTTCTGACCAGCGTCCTGCAACAGCAACACAAAAGTCATAAATGGATATTTGTAATGTGCTACAGCGCTTCCGTTGAAGCATGCTTAGAGCGTCATCACCATTATTATTAACCCAGTCAATGGATCAGGGTGCACTCGATTTTCTTTCTCAGCTCCCTGGGGAGTATACAACCCAAGCTGAGGTGCCATAAGGTTGACAGTCACATTACCATTTCATCCTACCAGGTGAGTGAGTTAATATTTAACGTCACATCGACAATATTTCATCCATATCCTGACAAGAAGTTATAATGTAAGAATACATATATTTAGATTATATCAATGCACGGTAAAATAACTGGAATATCACAGATTAATATTAAAAATAGCATACAACAATCCTACCAGGTACCAATACACTGCACAGGGGAATATTTTGAACAAAGTCACTTGCCTTTAAAGAGATACCACATGTGCTACATGTACTACAGAGTTGGGCATGAGCGAAGCCCACGAGTGAGTGAGTGAGTATGGTTTTACGCCGCTTTTAGCAATATTCCAGCAATATCACGGCGGGGGACACCAGAAATGGGCTTTACACATTGTACCCATGTCGGGAATCGAACCCGGGTCTTCGGCGTGACGAGCGAATGCTTTAACCACTAGGCTACCCGACTGCCCCTCGAAGCCCAAGAAACACAGGTCTGAACACAAATCACCCATCCAACTACTCTCTGTGACCCATGTTGCTTAACTTTCGCCCGATTTGTGACCTGCACGCTTTGAACAGGACCATGTGGGATCTATTTAGCCAAATGACCCCAATTTAAGGTACTGACCAACAGCCCTATTCGATATCAAAATGTGATCAGTACATTAAAACAATTTTGAACATGTTTAACCCCAACAGATCACTTTAGAGAATTGTGTTTTGTAACTGTATAACCATGATAACTACTACTTCTATTTCAACCACAAACACTATGGTGTTTTGAAAATAAAAAGACTGGTTTGGTTGGTTTGTTGTTTAACGCAGCACTCAGCAATATTCCAGCTATATGACGGCGGTCTGTAAATAATCGAGTATGGAACAGAACATCCAGTGATTGATATCATGTAAAAAGAAGAAGACCTAAGCAATAATTGCAAACAATATGTACCCCCCTACAGTTTCAAGCTACTGTAGGCATGGCTAGTACCGGTAATGAAATAGGAGTGAGTGAGTGAGTTTGGTTTAACGCCGCTTTTAACAGTATTCCAGTTATATCACGGCATGTCAGCTTAATGTGGGAGGAAAGCCCGAAGTGATGCAGGTCTCAGACGTTTACCACTTCGGTGAAACCCACGAGCACGGGTATGGTGCTGACAAACCTAGAAACATAATCGGGGCGAACTGGGATTCGAACCCACAATCATAGGTTTCTGGCGTGTCCAGGGGACGCAACTCTGCACAGCGAATCGCAGCGCCTTAGACGACTGGGCCACCCGTGCCCCCTAATGAACTAGGAATGCAGGTATCTAGTCCTGATCAGAAAAACACTATCACAATCATGGTCAATCCTTACAATAATCATTTGCTCCATCCCATCTGTATCCTTGGTGAATTTGAAGCCCGGCGAGGATCTCGGGGATGACCGTAGGGATCTCCGTGTTGACAGTGAGCTTAAAAGTTAAATATCAGCTTTACAATATTTATAGTACATACAAATGTTTATATAGCGCTAAGTTTCAGCTGGCACTTAAAAGAAGCTATATACTGCCACTCGGTAATTCACAGGAAGTTACGAATCTCTCATTAGTAACACTGTAAAATATAGTGTAATATTAATAAAGTATTACAAATTTGTATTGCAATATATTGCAATCTGTATCGCACATGTAGATCCTTTTTTTCTTCAAATGAAAATAAATATGGTCAGTCGCTGCCATTTTGTAGTCATGGAAACAGGGAACTGAGATAATCAAGATTACAATGTGAGAGGAAATTCACTTCTGCGTTTCCACCATTTTGTCAATTTCAAATGGAAACATCATTTCCGAATGAACTTCTGGGAAGATTTTAGCAGGTTAACTTTAAAACACAAAATGGTGTGGTAACTCTGTCCTGTGTACCCTTGCTGAGCTTGTGAACATGGTGAAAGCCATTGCAATAACCAGTAAATAGAATGTTACGCCGCACTCAGCAATATTCCAGCTATATGACGGCGGTCTGTAAAAGATCAAGTCTGGACCAGACAATCCAGTGATTGACATCATGAGCATCAATCCACGCAATTGGGATATGATGACATGTATAAATCAACTCAGCCAGCCTGACCACCCAATCTCCTTATTCGCCTCTTATGACAAGCTGGGTTGCTGAAGACGTATTCTACCCCGGATCTTCACGGCTCCACACAATTATACTTACTTGCAATGGGACATCAACATTGCTTTGATTATAAAGAGTAATCCTGATTTTATTGTCTTTAAACATAGAGCTCATGTGTATCACTTTACTATCAGTTTCTTTCATTTGCTGAATGTCACAAATGGTCCAAACAAAAATTAGATATACATTTTTGCAATTAAAGACATCATATGGTCGATTCTAATTGTTTTTTTACTGTAACTAATAAACAATATGTACCTTGAAAAGAAATGCTAACGGCAGTGATCACTAACAAACTGTTGAGGCTAAATATATGACATCGGACTTGTTGCTGTAATACGTTACATCTGAGGAAAATGCCATGCGAAACACTCCATGTATCAATAACACTACGAGTGGACGGTGATTCTGCATCTATAACCTGCATATCGGTTTGTAAGTTTTGTATGATCTCTCAACATGCTCAGAGCGTGTCCCCAAAAGTTTTAAAAATGACCCCATGTGTTTTATGCTGAATGGGTCCCTGTCCCAACTCATTCAGTTTCTTGGCAGAACACTGCATGGTAACCATGGTAACTGTTGTTCATAAGTCAAAAACATTCATATACTGGTCTGCACTCGCCATCTTTATTCAGTAGAGTTGAGTACTCATATATGGTCTATTACCTGGACTCCATGCATACTAGATCAAAGATTTTATTTGACTCAGGCCTTAGTATGCATAGCAAGTGGGCAAATACACAGACAGGTTCATGCCAAACCCAAACAGCAGCGTTAGAAATTGGCACTAGTCCTGTAGTCCTTACCAAACTGCCCTATAGTAAAGGTATCCTAAGGACTAGTAGAAATTGGCCCATTTTAAGGGTTTTGTTATATGTTATCATTATAAGGACTAGTGGACAAAAACTGTTAGTTTCTAACCCTGAATAGTCTGTGCCAAAACATTTAACATTAAATAGTTCAGTATCAGATGATTGTAGACATAATCAACATTCATGTGATAAAAGAAATTTACTGGACGAGGACTAGTAGCTGAACTCTTCTCAGAAGTGTATAGACCACTGTAGACCATAGCTTTGCAGATCTTGTGCAAGTTTACCCTAGAGAACTCTCTTCTGTGCCCTATTCCAGCTATCAATGCCATCATGACCATTGCACACTTGACATGTTATCTACGAAAATGAGAAAGTAATAACATATTCTACAATCTACAAGAATGTTGCAATAATATGCAGATTTTTCTTCAAATATGCCAAATGTTAATTACAACAAATATATTAATCACCTGGAATTTGATTGAGGCTCTTGCATTTTCTTCTTGGGATCAAAGATTGAGAAAAATTTCTTCTCTTCGGAACTGATTTCTTTGGTAGGTGTAGCAGACTTATCGGAGTATACTGAAGGTGGTCGTGTCGTCTCAATATCGTCACCCATCAGACTGTCAAAACCAAACAAGTCGTGGGATCCTGACAAAGATTCAGTTTTCCTCGAGACAAATGGTTCACTGATCAACGACACACTGGTTGGGGAGCTCTCGAGGAAAGAATCGACGGAGCCAGGCGATCCGTCAATCTCAACATCACATTTGTTTACAACCACAAAACTCTTCCGGAGTTTGCTCGTCTTAACCACACTTTGTTTGTCACTGTTAATGTTTGTGGGGGTTTTAACAACTTTGTCCATGATTACCTCGCTCTGTGCCGGGGATTTTGTCTGCTTGCAGTTTTGAAGCTTCACATGGCTTGCGAAAACTTTCTTCTCAATCGTTCTTGGTGAGCTTGAAACTTTCTTAGTCATCACAAAAGGCTTCGACTTACTTTTCCCAGATGTCGAAATGTCTGTGTTCTCCCCACTGCTTGGCTCACTCTCCCAAAGAAAAGCATCTTCTTTCAAGCTTTTGCTGGCTTTCATTTTCAGTTTGGGGTATTTACTCTGAGGGGTTTTCTTTCCCTTTTTAGCACTCTTGGATTTGGTCGACTTTTCCCACAGGTTACCACTCAGTCTTTTGGGGACAAATTTTAAATTAAATCCTTTCCTGACAACAATACTCCCAACCATTTTGTCAGCATTTGCTGGGGATTTGGTTCTGAAAAACTTCTTTCCGGAACTTTTACAAGTTTTATTCATTTTCTTCTGTTTGAGAGGGGTGTTTTCAGAGTCTTCTGGATCAATTTTCCTCAGGGAAGGCGTCAGGGAACCTTTAGCATTCTTAGTAACTGTAATTTTCCTCTTTCGTCCTTTGACTGGAGTTTCTTTACCTTGAACAAGATTACCTTTAACAACATGACTTTTCTTGTCATTTTGGTCTTTATTACGTAGGGATCTTCTTGAGTAGCCACTGCCTTGGGAACTTGGGCTGCCATTTTCTGAACTAGTCTGGCCATCTTTCCATTTCTTTTGAAGTCTTTTAGTATTACCTCTGATGTTTGCCAGTTTCCTTTCAGCCAACGGGCTGAGCACCACAACTGGATTGCTTGTTGAGGAAGAGGGACTTGATGCTATCTTACGTCTGGATCCATAGAAAGACTTGGTAGCAAACGTTGGGGAATCCGCATCAGCATCAGCGAATGGACTCTTGATGGGAGATGAGGGAGTTGATGGCTCAACTGATTTAGTCCTTAGTCTCTTCCTGGGAGAAGCGATGTCAGCCCTGTCAACAGAATACTTAACATTATTTCCTGAACCATAATATTCAGCCTTTTTGTAGTTATGATCATGTAGAGTTGGGCTGGTGAGAGTGAGCAGGTATGGCTTTACGCCGCAAATAAGCACTATTTCAGCAATATCACGGCAGGGGACACCAGAAATGGGCTTCACACATTGAACCCATGTTGGGAATCGAACCCTGGTCTTCGGCGTGACGAGCGAACGCTTTAACCACTAGGCTACCCGACCTCCCCAGAGTTCGGCTGGAAGGTCTGCAGAAAACAATATTGTATGAATCCCCCTTGTCGTTAACACATGGTCAAAATAGTGTCTCTTCATTACAATGATAAATAAACAGTAAATAATTGTTGGCATGGATTGGATTGGTTGGTTTGTTTGTTTGTTGTTAAATGCCGAACTCAGCAATATTCCAGCTATATGACGGCGGTCTGTAAATAATCTAGTCTGGACCAGACAATCCAGTGATTGATATCATGAGCATTGATCCACAGGTCAGCGAGCCTGACCATCCGATCCTTCGACAAGCATAGCCGCCTTTTACAGCAAGCATGGGTTGCTGAAGACCTATTCTACCCCGGATCTTCACAGCATGGATTGGAAGGAAATAAAATACAATATTAAAGTCATCATGGTTGTAGTTGAAGACATCAGTATCTGTAATGTGTTTCTAGAAATTAGTAGGTAAAAAAGCAACCTCAACTCCTAAACTAATCTAGACAGCAGAAGGCATGCTAGAAGAACCCACAGATTTCTCCAAATATTTAGTCTAAAATGAGCTGTGGAATAGTTGGGTATGACAAATGGTGTCTACCCATGAATGGGTCACCATTGAGTATTTACTCCAAGTCTATTGGGTATTATTTAAACCAATGAATCAACCATTTTTAAACATAATTCTGCTTAAAACAAGTTTCAGGTGACTTCTGATTTGCATGTGTCCATGTCTATTGTGTCACATATCACATAAGCTCACATGTCTAACTGACAATAAGCACAATATAGTACCTTTTTGAATTATTTGCACCTTCATGCCTGCATTTGATCAGTAAATAGAGGTCTGTACAAACATACATGTACGCAAGCTGCAAAGGCGACGATGGATAATTCCAGTGTTATATTTTCAGCCGGCTTGATAATTTTATTCATGCACATTTGAACAAGTAACTCAAATGTAAAGGCATGACAGTGATTTATCTGGAGCCCAGGCACTCAATTTCAATTGTTCATTCACATCAACATTGGAGGAAACTAAAATATTTATTCATACTTCTTTTTATCAGGAGAGGGCTGCAGTTTCCTTTTTCTTCTCATGTTGTAAGTAGCCATCACTTGTGGCAGTCCTCTGTAAGTGTAAAAAATAGTAATGTATGAACCAGTGGTGATTATACAGAATGAAAAACCGAATAGGGCTACAAACGTAATGATTCAAACATATCTCAGTATCCCTGTTTTATGGGTTTTCGCTTAAGAAACATTAGTTGATTTGTCTATTATCACATGAACAACTGTAAAACATCTCATTCACTTATAAAAGACAACTATCTCTATAAAACAAGCAATCATCTGAGTATTTAAAATGTCTGTGTGATGCTACAGCCTCTGTTATAGCGCGAGTAACCGCGATAAACATGGCCGTCCGAAAACGTATGATGTCCGAAAACCCATGATCCGACGATAACTGAAAAACGAAATAGGCAGGACATGCGCGCTGTATTTATTTACGTTGTCATCCTGTCAACCTCCATGTTGAATAAATAAAACGGTACATTTATCCGTTGTTCATGTCTTACGTGTTGGTATATTATAATAGATAATAAAAACAGTCAGAGGAACTTTCGAACAGCGGTACACATGCACACGTCACGGGGATTTAAATAATATTCCGCTTGACAAATTGCAAATGGCTTTAGGTCAGAAAGAATGGAATGAACACTCGTTTATCGAGGTTATAATAAATGAAAATAACGATAGAAAACATCATAACTTGATTGAAACTTGCAGACGACTATATTCAAAATGACATATACACTGAGGAAACACTTATAATGTATTTAAGCAAATATTACCAACACACACTCATATGTGACCAGAAAAGTCGCAAAACTCCGCCAAAATGTATTTGGCGCCCTGACAGTGTGACCTTCGGTTTTCCCGCAAATAACTGTTGATTGGTTGAGTAGCGCTTACTCAGCAAGTAATTGACCAATCAGCACACGCTTATTGAAACTAGCCAAGAAAGATAACTCTAATTTGTGAAATGCTAAATAAAGAACTGGTACTGTTGTTGGAATGCGCGGTCGCAATTCATACGCCCAGTTTCCACGACACAGTTTTGAAAGAAAGGAAGCACATGTAAATGTTTCTTACATGCCAATATTGATGAGTGTCCTCGAGAAAACCACTTCTGGCGAGTATATCCTGATAAACCAAAAAGCCGTCTATATACATAGCAAACACAGGCATACAATCTACATATAATTTAACATTAAGTCAACATTCATTTCTCTGTTTGGCACAAAATCAATAGTCCTCTTTGTAAACAGACAATAATACATACATGTATATTCATTTGTTTACAACACGAACACGAATAGCAGAAATAGAATCTATAAACGTCTCAGGTGATTTTATCATATGTTTCATTTTTAATTGAAAATATCTTAAGTTATATATCTATAGTTTTATATAAAAACATTTCAAAATATAATTTGATTTAAAACCTTTAAAAGTTTTAACATATAAATCCGCATAATACACAACAGCTGATGCTTGTCTTAGACATCATGTCTTTGAAAATCAATATTTTAAAAAAATCGTTCCGAAGTGACAACCTTTCAAACATGGTAGAGGTCATGTGGTTGAAAATTCATTTCTTACCCCAGTCTTCATTGATTTTGTAGTATTTGTTTATTTTTCTAGAGCATTTACACGTTTTTGCATGACATTATATTCACAGAAATATAGCATGACAGCTTCACCAAAGCTAATTAAAGTATTCTATATTACAAAAAATGACGGAAGTATACTTTGTTAACTCATAGAATTCAGCTCCTTGTATATAAATTGGAATGTTGGTGGATATTAATTATATTTCTACAGTTGAAAATGATTTGTTTTGACAAAATAATGATAAGGTTTATAGGATTGTTATTTTTCTGTAAATAACCAAAAAGAACATTTTGGATATTGTTACCGTGTTTTGTGTTTTGTGCGATATCCAAATTTCCATGTCTCGCCAGATGGAGCTTACTTTGTTGTATTCCCAAAATATATGTATAAGATCTTCTGTTTCATTAGAACAGTAGCTACAACTTGTACTGTCTACGTGTCCAATTTTATTAAGAAGACAGTTTGTTGGCAATATATGATGTAAAATTTGAAACTGGAACCATTGTAGTTTAGTCACGTTCGTGCACCTAAACGGGATAGAACTGATCCTCTTCCTGTTTTGTTCTTCAATATCGTGCCCAAGTTCGTACTCCCATTTAGCAAAATGATTATTTCTCTCACATATTTAATATCTTTAATATGTATTTTATAGAGATACCGTGAACCTTTTTTCCGTTTATTCAGATAATACATATGTAATGGTAAAAAGGAAGATTGTAGGATAATAGCAAATTTGGGTAATCGTTGGCTTCGACAGTATTGTTTAACAGCGAGAAGAACACCTGCGTTGAAAACGGTTTTAAAGGTTTCGAATGGCATGGATTGTCCGTTATTATGTGGAAGATCATTTATGAAACGTATCCCTTTTACAAACCATTCTTTATGGAATATACTGGTATTTCCAACTTTATGTTCTCGTTATGTTTATATAATTTATGTTTATATTATATTGTGCTAGGATACTCTTGTCATTTATACGCTCGATGTGGGTGTTATCTATGAATTTCCACCAGGCCTTAATAAGGTCCTTGTAGTATATATTATCTATCTTGGTAAACATTTGTAATCTTAATGTCTTGCAGGTAATTTCGAAAGCATTATTTGGCCCAGAACGAGGTGTATATAAGAATAATAATGGACACCACTTTGATTTCGATTTTATGTTCTACGTATCATTGATATTTATTTCGCAAGTATTAATTTGTTATTTTGGGGTATTTTATACCTCCATTTGATGTTTCACATATAATTTGAATCCTCTTTACTTTGTCGAGTTTACCTCCCCAAATGAATAAGATACACCTTTTTTTAAACGTTTAAGCTTAGTATCTGGTGGATCTGGTAGAGATGAAAATAAATATTTACATTTTGGTAGAATTAGTGATTTAGCATGGATTTCCTCCCCAAAGGTTTCTTGAAGACCAAACGCACATGAGTGTTTCACATTTCCTAAATGCGTTATCGTAATTCAAGCTAATCGTTTCGTCGAGATCAGTACTGAGTTTCATTCCATGTTGATCGAACGGATTTTGCCTCCAATCAAGGTTCCATTCTTGACATCATTTTATTCCAGCGTGGTTTTTTTTATACTATCCAGAGTATCCTTGTTTTGTCTATGTTAACTTAAAATCTAGCATAGACACTGAGAACCTGTGGCACAGTATAGAGGCATCGTTCTGAAGCCCCTAGAGCAGTTGTGTCATCTGCAAATTGTGAGAGTAAATATTCAATATTTCCAATTTTAATACCTTTTATTTTATTGTTGTCTCTTATCATTATTGCTAGTATTTCAGCACATAGTATAAAGATATAGAGAGACAAAGGATCACTAGCCTTCATTGAACTAATATATTTTTACACAATATCACCATGCCACAGTTTACTTTTTACAAACTATTTAGGAATGAGTGATGGTTAAATAGACAGAATAAATTTAACAACAGTTCTTTCCATTTTCAACTACATAAAAGACAACCCGCGGTATACTTTCTTTTGCCCCTCAGTTTACTTTGCATAAAAATAACAATTCAATATGGCTTCCTCCTAAAACTCCGAATTTACACATAATTACATTTTTGTCTTCATTTTTATAAGAGAAAATTACCAAATTCAAAGAATACAATATAACATAATTTGAAATAGTGAAAAGGCTTGTTTTCCTAACATCAAATAGGGAAATCTGTCATATGAACTAATATTTAATTATTTTATATAAATTTACTAGAACGGCACGTGGTTAAAACACACACGACCCCTCCCTATGCAGGGGCAGGTATGTGTGGGGGAGGGGTGAGACATCGAAGGATACCCAGTTTGGTCAGCTCCATGTGATGCAGGTCTCAGTCGTGAAACCCAAGATCGTGGATATGATGCTGACACGCAAAGAATCATCACCAGATCAAGTCTGGGATCCGAAACCCTGATCGCACGATTTCCGACGCGCCTAAGGTTTTTTTATAACACTTTTGGAACAATGTTTTCTATAAATTTCTTTTGATGTATTTTGTTTCTTTTTTTGGTTTAGGTTACTTGATGCATTGTTCGCATGGTAGTATGGTAAAATGGGGACTGCTCCAGTCACTCTTCGATGTCGGAACACAGGAAGAGTTGTCTATGACGTCATAGTGGTACATGACGTAAACTGACTTACGGAGTGGGCGGATGACCTTTCTTCAAACAACTGATATATACAAGTAAACAAAAACTAGTGCAGGATCCTATATCTCAAATATAGTAAAGACGTCTTTTACAGAATGTTAATGACAAAAAGAAGAAAAGGAGAATTTCCGGAAGTTGCCGATTTCGAAGGGTTGCCATGACGTCGTTATGATTATGACGTCATAGACAATCACGCTGTCGCCAGAGATAAAGTACGCTGTTCCTTCGCTCTTCAAACTTCGTTGTATTTTGAGGACATTTTGGAATCAACAGGCCCGAGCCTTTCAGAGCATTGTGCTGACTGACAGTACAAAAGTGATGTACTCCGAAGATATAAATGGTAAGTGAATACAACGGGGTCAACCGCACCAAATCCTGATCTATCCTTTTATTGATTATTTCACTTAACGTTTTATCCATATTTCTTAAACCGATGGCAACGTTAAATGAATGTATAAAAGTTCCACGTTTCTTTCACAAAAGGTGTCACTTCACCAACATCAACAAAAAGACGACAATTTCTGTACCCTGAGTCTGACTGGCCTCAAGCTAATACCTCGTCCAGAGAAGAGAATATGCCATCGCTGAATGTGCAGCCTGTGGATAAGTTCAGACCATCAAGTCGGGGCCAATCAACATGCAACTCTGTTTCCCGAACTGATGCCCCATCCTCCAGTTCTGCTGCTTTAGGCAACACTGTATCTGTAGAGTTTCGCACTCTGACATTAAAGAAAAGTAAGAATACATATTTCTTTTAGATATATGTAAGCAGAATATCTAAACTGCAGTATCAACGAGGACAGATTTGACATATGGACGTACGCTTCTTTATTCTTTCAATACGGCCTTTCGCGATACAGATACCAGTACCTTTAGAGTGAGTGAGTGAGTTAAAGTTTAACGTCACATCGGCAATATTTCAGCCATATCGTGACGAAACAAAATGTGACATTAACAATATATTGTAAACTGCATACAATTCTGCCGACGACAGTACCTTTAGAAAGCAAGTTTCGTAAAGGTAGTTAGTTGTGAAGAAACCATCTGTAATTTAGATTCTCTCAGAAGATATGAACATTTGAGTTGTAAATTATTTTTTTATTTGACTTTGTTCAACTGATTAAATTCTATTCTTCTTTTCAGATCAATCTTCTGTATCCTGCAAACAAAATGGGGTGCCTGGAAGGAAAAGGAAAATGTGTGACAGAAAGACAGTGGAAGAAAAGATTGAGAGAAGGAATGAGAGGAAACGGCGTAGAAAACATATTTGTACCAGAGTGACGGTAAACTATTACACATATTTCTTCAGGGAAATCACCAAATTTTGCATAAAGATTATTAAACCAATCCATTGGGCGGAACTGGCACGCTTAGAACCAAAACACTTTATCCAATTTTCGGGGCTAGCGCTCAGTAACAAACTAAATCTTAAACAAATCACTTAATTGGGGTTGACAACTTGTGACCCGGTTGCAACATTGGTGCAGTGATGAAGTCTTTGTCTTAAAGTGATTGTTGCATTTATATGTACGCATTATTAGATTATTTCGCAACACTATCCTCACGACCGTTATCCAACAGGCCCCCACAGGCACCAAGAACGCAGGCTATGGGGCTATGGAGACGGATGCCATGAGATACGGGAAATTGCTCGGTTACAACGTTGTACCAGGTACGTCAGCGAGGGGCAGTGGTTTAAGCGTTCGCTTGTCATGGTGAAGGCCCGGGTTCGATTCCCCATATGAGTAAAAGGTGTGAGGGCCAATTCTGTTGTCCCCTGCCTTGATCATGTTGATATTGTTGATATATAACTTTAAGTGGTGTTAATGGTTACTCACTCACTACAGACCCGTGAAGATCCGGGGTAGAATAGGTCTTCAGCAACCAATGCTTGCCGTAAAAGGCGACTATGCTTGTCGTAAGAGGCGACTTATGGGATCGGTTGGTCAGGCTCGCTGACTTGGTTGATGCATGTCATCGTGTCCCAATTGCGTGGATCGATGCTCATGATATCAATCACTGGATTGTCTGGTCCAGACTCGATTTTTTTCAGACCGCCGTCATATACAGTAGCTGTAATATTGCTGAGTGCGGCGTTTAACAAACAAACAAGTCACACAGTACAGATAGATAGATTTGGTCTTTGTGTGATGTGTTTAGTTTTAAGTCCGATAATGCAGTACTTGAACAAACCGCGTTTATATCTCCATGTTATAAAATAGTTTCTAAAATGTACCGGACTTGAAAAGGATAGGGTACAGTGTGTGTGAATTCAAACTACCCTTTATCCACATGTGTATATGGGTACACTTTTTAAAGACCCGTGAAGATCCGGGGTAGGAGAGGCCTTCAACAACCCATCCTTGCTGTAAGAGGCGACTTTGCTTGTAATAGGCGACTAACGGGATCGGGTGATCGGGCTTGGTGACTTGGTTGATGCATGTCATCGTATCCCATTTGCGTGGATCGATGCTCATGATATCAATAACTGGATTGTCTGGTCCTGACTCGCTTATTTACAGACCGCCATCATATAGCTGGAATATTGCTGAGTGCGGCGTTAAACAACAAACAAACAAAAACAAACCTAGTGTATATGTATGATCAAACACTGGTTCCCGCAGACTACAACAACTACCTCGTTGTGCGGTCAGCTTACGGCTACGGTGACATCAGCCAGTCCTCCGCCATGACGAGACGTCCTAAATCGGAACACCTCCGTCGACCGGACACCCATCTCATGTCAGACAAGGTCATCCTGCGGGACAAGGTCGACCAGCTGGTCAGAAATGGTGGCTGTCCCAGAAATAACTCAAGATTCGGTAGGACGAATTACAATTGTTTGTTTCTTTCAGAAACAGATACCATGGTGCCGTTGTACAAAGCCATCTTAGCCCTCAGATGATCGTAACACCCATACCTTAACACATGCAGACTTACGACAGTCGTAGCGCTGAGGTTGTTTTGTACGACGGCACCATGATCTCCGTTTCTTTGTTGTCTCTGCAATATTCCAACATTATCGCGGGTGAGCGAGTTTGGTTTAACGCCGCTTTTAACAGTATTCCAGTCATATCACGGCATGTCAGCTTAATGTGGGAGGAAAGCCCCAAGTGATGCAGGTCTTCGACGTTTACCATTTCGGTGAAACCCACGAGCACGGGTATGGTGCTGACAAACCTAGAAACATAATCGGGGCGAACCGTGGTTCGAACCCACAATCATAGGTTTCTGGCGTGCCCAAGGGACGCAACCCTGCACAGCGAAACGCGGCGCCTTAGACGACTGGGCCACCCGTGCCCCGCAACATTATCGTGGCGGCCTGAAAAGTGACAGACGGAAGGTGTTTTCTCATGCAACCTCGAAATATTTAACAGAGGGTATTCCGAACGACAGTTACGGGATTTATAATTATATCCACACAATCTAGGCCATCTGTAAGCTTTTCCAGAATGTTCTTTTTAACAGTTTTAATTTTTTAATCGAGAATACGTCAAAATATGTTTCGAAGCGTAGTCGCCAGTTTGAAAAGAGCGGCGTAAAGCTCGAGAAAGCTGCCTTCTGGTTGGCTATTGTCGATTTCTTGCCAGTCATTTCATTGATCGGCCAAAGTTCGCGAAAGGTCGTTCTGACATGACCCGTAATGGGATGTCCTCAGATCTTTGTTTAGCGGTAGCGAAAACTGAGAAAGACTTAAATGAGATTGTTTTCGGACCCCGGAGGCGAGACAACATTGTAGACATAAGTAATTTCTTCTGAGTGGTGTCCAGTTCTGGTGTCCTACGCCTTGATATTACTGGAATATTGCTAAAAGCTGAGCAAAATCCACCCACTCATTTTAAACTAATTAAACTTCTTAAGTGGAATATATCAAATGTAAGCGGATTGAGTGAGTTAGGTCGTTTTGAGTGAGCGTGTTTGCAATGGATTAACGCCGATTTGAACACTATTCCGGCGTGTCAGTTTGATGTTGGTGGAAAGACCGAAGTTGTGCAGTTCTTACGTTTACCACAATGGTGAATATCACAAAGACAGGTATTGTGCCATTTTGAACGCGTGTAGCAAGCAGTTTTTGTGACAAGAACATCTCCAGTGACTTATGTACCGATCTTGTGAAGACAGTAAATGGTTCAGACAGTGAAGTCAAGCTTCTTAACAATCCTCTTATTTCATTCCAGATCCAAACAACTATCTTGTCGTCCAATCTGCATTCGGATATGGCAATATCAGCCAATCGTCGTCCATCAAGAGGAAAGGCGTGCAATTTAAACAGTCCGACTCCTAATTTGGACATAATATTTGTATGAAGAGAATCTAATCTTTCTCATTGGTTACACAAAGACTTGTGAAATGTTTACATGTGTTTATTTTCATACCTTTCGTTGCATAAAATTTGAAAACGAAAAATATTTTGAGTATGTTGTTTATTTAATAATCATGATCCTGGCTTCTGAAGTCGCCATCAGTTGTCCACTGTTAATGTTGAGGATGACGTCGCGCGATCTGGCTAAAATGGAGGTCGGTCTTGACTGTGTCGTCGCTGACGATGGCGGAAATAATGCCGATGCGACGTTAAATTTATACTCACACACTTGACTGTGTGTCGTCTGCTAAACAAGCAATATGTCAGTTGCTAATTCTTTCAGTCACTGGTTTGTTGGTCCCAGTCTCGTTATTTTACATGCTCTCAGTGTTCTGCTGACTGCCGGCTAAAATTCACCCAGTCAAGTGTGGCATGTCGCTAGTAATGTGTTTGTTTAGAAATAAACGACCCGTGGTTTTTGTTTATGGTACGCACAAAACACTGCAGGGAGAATAAACCTGGAAGGGCGCATATAATGTTGATATTGGGGAGATCAACATTTTGTACAACCTCTTTAAGGATGGTGATGAAATGTGCAAGCTTAACAATAGTTACCTGTATTATTTACATTTAATAATGACTCCCTCAATAGAATCCCTCAACTTCGGCAATGCCGGACAAGTCCATTTTAAGCACAACCATGCTGGTATTTCCCGCATATTCTCATAATCCTCACGTGGATCACCTGCACTTTTCCCCCTCAATGGCGATTGTCATATCTCTCCCGCTTTTTGCTGCGATCGTTTGTCGGCTATCGACCATCGCGTTTATCTGCGTTGCCCTGAACTCAGCAGACACTCCCCTCTAAAATATAACGTCGTCCAATATAGGACGTCATCAAGTTGCGACCGCATCTTCGATTCTCCAGAAATAACGTCATTACAGAACAATGTTTTATGGTGATATAAACCACATTCGTTTTTCATTGTTCTTTGCGATTATCGCGTAGGTATCTCATATGTGTTGTTGAACGTCGCACTCCGCAATATTCCAGCTATATGACGGCGGCCTGTAAATAATCGAGTCTGGACCAGATAATCCAGTGATTGGGATCAGGAGTATCGATCAACGAATTGGGATACCATGACATGCATTAACCATGTCAGCAAGCCTGATCAGTTCGCAACAAGCATGGGTTGCTGAAGATCAATTCTATATACTTTGATCTCCAAATGTGAGCGTTATCTGATGGCGCCCTATCAGCTTGATGTGGGAGGAAACACAAGACGTTTATTCCTTGATGAAACATAATCAGAGTGAACTGGGATTCGAACCCAGGGGGGCACGGGTGGCCCAGTCGTGTAAGGCGCTGTAATTCGCTGTGCAGCGTTGCGTCCCTTGGGCACACCAGAAACCTATGACTGTGGGTTCGAATCCCGGTTCGCCCCGATTATGTTTCTAGGTTTGTCAGGACCATACCCATGCTCGTGGGTTTCACCGAAGTGGTAAACGTCTGAGACCTGCATCACTTCGGGCTTTCCTCTCACATTAAGCTGACACAACTGTGATATAACTGGAATACTGTTAAAAGCAGCGTTAAAAACCCACCTCACTCACCCGAACCCACGATCATTACTTTCTGGCACGCTTATGGGATGCAACCCTGCACAGCAAACTGTGGCATCTAAAATTCAATGTTTACATGTCATAAAGGTGATGCAACGCAAATACAGCCATGAACTAGTATGGAGATTCCACTGCTTTGCATGACAACATTTTTTACACTCGCTGTAATTAATGCAGTATGACTTTGTAGCTTAGGATGATCTTGTGTACACACGAGATCTTGATGTCACTTTCATTGATGAGTGAGTGAGTGAGTATGGTTTGATGCCGCTTTTAGCAGTATCACGGTGGGGAATACCAGACACTGGCTTCCGATATTGTACCCATGTTTGGAATTGAATCCAGTTTTCAGGGCAATTATTTATGAAATCAGAGCAAAGCAATCAATAAATAAAAGTAGCTTTGGACAATTTTATTGTCAGTAGAAATATATTCGTGTTGGTCAATGGGACAATACAAAACCTCATTTCAAAAGTCACCCAGTAATTCATTCAAAAGAAAAAAGCTCACAAAATGCAGTCCAGAAACCAAGTGAAATGTACATTCACAGCTGATTGTTTGATGGGTAGCACTCTCTCCGACAATGATGAACAAGCAATCAACAACACGGGAAGATGGTGGCCATTTTGGATTACACAGCAGCCATATTGGATGTACACAACAAGCTGATTAAACAAATGCACTGGGTACCACTTCAAAATCATGCCTCATGTCATCAAACCTATGCATAGCATTTCATTACAATGAGGAGATGAATGTATTTTTTTTGCTTTTGGAGTAAAAATGCACACGGGCCATAAAATGGGATGTGCAATTCTTATGAGTTCTGCAATTCCATAAAACCATTCAGTGGTGAGTGATTATGTCTGGGATACAAAACATTAGAACAATTGAAAGTCTATGATATGTATCAACTAAATAATAATATAATAAGGATTAAAATAATAAAATGCTGAGTGCCAAGAAACAGGATAAAAGTAATTATACATGGATTCATTAAGAAATGAAATTTCTCAAAATGAATAAAAATACAAATGAATTCAAATATAATTGAATTCCCTGACACTGTTGAAATAACTAAACTAAAATTCTAAAATTTGAAAAAGTCCTACTTTGTTGAAGTACGTCATGAATAGTTTCCAAAACAGAAATGGTAAATTATGACAAGTATTAGCAAGCAAAAAAATATAATGTGAAAGACAAATAAATGAAATAAACGAATAAAGTTTTCCATTAAAGTTATAAAATGTAATTTAACCCCAAATCATGCAAGAAGAATAATTTGTTTATCCACAAACAGTCGCTGCAAACTAGAAAGAGTAAACTTCTGCAGAAATGATCAACCTCAAATTAAAAATACATGTACTTGCATTGTGTAAAAGAAACCATATTTGTAATAAGTAACAATACTGATGAAATCATTTACAAACAATAAAAGACTGGGACATTGAAAATGAATACTTTGATTATGCGGATGTAGAGGTTTTTGTATGAAAATGACAATACACTGAGACATGATTAACATCTGAGACTTTATATACATAAACAATCACTCCAACACTTCTCACACACATAATGGACACGAAGACAATCATTTTATTACAAAAATAACAATCTGTTTTATGAAACATTTCAGTTTGGTTGCCAGATTAGAAGTAAGGAGTCAACACTTGAACCATGTATCCAACATTTCTCTAACATCTATGTATTTTTCTACCTTTAATATCTCTGCCTGAACATTCTTACGAGGTCAGTACATAGATAGGTAATCAAGACTAAATGTTTTAATTAGACAATTATGAAGTTTTACTTATTGAGCATATACAGACGTGTGACACACATTTCATGTAGGTCACCAAGTGCATTGCATTCTGCTGAATCAGCACCTTGTGGCGAAATGTGCAAGGTGACAACATTTGAGTGCATGATGCTACTGATGTTTGAGTGCATGCTACTGAGGTTTTAGTGCTACGAACATCTGAGTGCATGCTACTGTTTGCGTGCTACTAAGGATTAAGTGCATGCTACTGTTTGAGTGTATGCTATTGACATTTGAATGCATCGTATTGATGTTGAAGCTTTCAGAATACACAGAATTAAGAAAAAAATCAATCATGGATAAATGTTTTTTGCCCTTACTGATACAACTCAACATGTCAAGAAAGTCTAAAACAGAAACTTAGTGCAAAATGATTCATTATTACCCGATGTTCATCCCAAATATTCAAAACCGTGGGGTTGGAGGCAATGTTATTTTTACATTTTATTTTGTTTTCTAAACAAACTGCTGGGTGTACATTAAGTGACATTTCAAGTCTGTTACATTGTATTTCATCAAGTGTAGAAAGAAGTGAGCACACAGCGATAGATACTCCAGGACAATAAAATGATGCAGGTGAAGTGTTTGGTAGTGGGCGGGGATGAAAAACTAATAATAAAGGATTTATCATGTCCTAATCTAAATATCTGAAAGAAATGAACAGCAAAGATGAATATTCAATCCATGTTTCTTTTTGACCAAACTTCAGAATTAAAATTATGTTAAAAGTTGAAAGATGTAATGTCACAAAGTGTTTCATTATGAGAAGATCCACTATGACTTGCACTACAAGACTATAACAACATCCGTGACGCGCAGCTGTAGAGAGCCAGACCATGTTTCACTACTTGGATCACTTGGGCCTCGTTCAAGTAGCAAGCCGATCCGCCTGTCACTTTTTATCCATTTAACCCACCCATAACAGGAAATAATCAAATCTATAAATAATCCATCCTAAATGTTACTGTTACATTGACAATTTGACAATATTTGAGGTCTCTTGCTTGTTCCAGTAAACACTTGATCTGGAGACTAAGGACTGGGTTTTTTTTCATAAAAAAATGAACCCCAAAAGATGGCTGTGAAGGACAGAAACAATGCAGTATCTAAACATAAGTCTTTTTTCTTCTGCATTCAGGTATTTTTAGACAAAAACCCTTTAAAAAAATCAAATTGGTCTGGAAACACAAATTATCAAAATTTTAAATTCTATTATTGTTTACTTAGAAAATTGTCAGATCACTGATACAAGTTAGAAAATCCTGACACAACTCAAAACATGTTGACATGAGAGTCTAGTTATCACGAAACTGTGTTCCTTCTGCTGAAATAGATGTGATTCTTATCTCCATCAATGACAGATATAGGTATAATATGCATATACCACCAGCATTCAAATACAAGCACACATTCTCAATAAAATATGAACTGAAAAAACAAAACATCCATTTATTCTTTTACAAACAGATGAAATTCATTTTGTCTTTAAAAGACATAAAAATCATTTGCATGTTGTCCCACAAATACATTGTCATAAAATTGGAGATTTCTGAAAAGAGCTTTCCATTTTCCCCCTTTCCTTGATATGCATATGCTTGAACTGACCTAAACTAAATCCCATTCTAAATAATGAAAATAGCTCTTTCATCATATTACACCACCAAGCTAGTATGTACATATATATTGAATATTCACATTTCAAAATATACACCAAGATTTAATACCATTTCTAATTAATACATTCATATGAAATTTACATGTCTAAGGAAACAAATTAGAGCTATTCTTTCATATATACAAAAGGTATGAAAATATTTAGCAAAGCAAACAAAACCTGTTCACTGTGGTGTAGTTGAGGACATCCCTAGCCCACCATTGAAAGCTCAGTGATTACTGATGTTGAAAAACAACAACTTGGTTTGAACCAATTGTGTCTGTGAATAAAGAGTTGAAGAACTAAATAAAAAACTGAAATATGCTCAGTATGGTTGGACAAATCAAAAACTGCCTGAATTTTCAACATGGAACTCTGTGGGCATATATACTGTGACTGAAGATGTTGATAATGCTCTGCGATATGAAACTCCCCATGACCATACTTTCAAGAAAGACTTCATTCTGTATTGTTCCACAAATGTATTATAAATTATTAATTTATTAATTATATTTTTTTTCATCATAATCATCATCATCATCATCATCTTTAGAATTTCGTTTTAGCTTTTTCCCCCCCCCTTAATATCAAAATTAGAATGAATTTAAGCATTCTCTTTAAAAAAAGAGAATTATGGTAAGTTTCTTATCGAGAATAAATCATTTCAATACAATTGGTCAGGTTACATCAGTGTGTAGTACATGTATTAGCCAGATACCACCAGCCCTGATATTGCACATGTCGATCCACTATAAACATGATGCTGTAAACTGATTGCATACGAGAATGTTGCCGATATTACCTTCTTTCCAGTGCAAGCACCATTAGAAACCACATTAATTCAGTTTGACATAACCACAATTTAAAATACAACAAACCATGCCGAAAGTCTTCACAGCATGTTTGTCTGTCTGACATAATTTTTTTAACAAATTCCAAAACTGAAATTTTCATATTCTGATTTGTAAAGCATTGAAACTGTATATCCACAAAAACAAAAGCTGCAAACATATTTACTGTAACTACGATTCTGTGTCAAAACCAAATATCCAAATACATATATTACTCAAATTTTGATAGGCATATTCCTACTATTTCATGTCGGGGTCGAATGTGACCAGTTTCTTAGAGTGAGTGAGTGAGTATGGTTTTACGCCACTTTTAGCAATATTCCAGCAATATCACGGCAGTTGCACAACAGAAATGAGCTTTGCACATTGTACGTATGTCTATTCCTTAGAGTAGAGATGTTCATACATTGATATGTTTTATAACAGTATCCTTATAAAAAATTGAATTGTATATATACAAAAATCTTATGAAATCATATCAAGCTATTCAAGAGGCCAGCTGTACTTGGGTCATGGCCACATGACTTACTTCTCACTGCATACCACACTAATAAAGAGTATGAGTTCACCTTAAAAAATAAAATTAAAAACCATCTTTAAAGTTTCGAATCACTTAAACTTAGGTTTCTTTAAACGTTTCTTAACAGCTCTGTATGTAGAACTTACTGAAAATAAAGTGATTTTTCTCTCTGCAGTTATTATTAACAGTATAATTATATTTGATAACTATCATAACTAGCATTCTTGATGCAAACTAGGCCTAAAGGCAGATTACAGAAATAAATGACATAAATCAAATTTTTAAGTACCAATAATAGAATTAAAAGCATCACTACTGAGTAATATATGTCAGGGTTAAATATCAATAAATGGTATGAAATTATATAATAATTGAATATTACAACTTAATTATGCCCCATTAATAAAAAGTGATTACAGGACATATGGAGCACTGTCTAATACTAAAATAACTGTTGACTGAAGAAAGAAAAGCATATTTGAAAATGTTTTGTTGCCCATAATACTCTATGTGGTCACACGACAGATCCGTATTGAGATTTAGTTATAATCAATGAATCACAACCATGATCAAATTAAAAACATGATTTCAAGTTTGTGTTACTGTTAGTGAAAACAAAAAGATTGAATCAGTGTTAAATCATTGTCGCTTCTTTAGTGGAAGGCAAGATGAAGGTTGAATGTAGTTGTCTCCCTTTGATCACATCCTGAGTGGAATAATCACACATTCTCCACATCAAGGTCAACAAAAGTTGATAGCGCCACGATGAAAGGAAAAAAGCAGGAAAAATAACAGATGCTTGCAAATATAAAAATCCCATATTTATGACAAATCTTGAAATCCACCATGTCATTGTCTGTGACTGACATGAACTTAAATGATTGTTCGTTTTGATGTCATCTATTTCATAGATGTCCATGTCACTGTTGCACCATGATGTATATTTCACTACTGCCATCACTGTGGCAGTGTTAGTGGATGACAGAATGACGTCACTCGTAATGTGAAATGAGCATGTGTGCGAGTGTCAATCATTGTCACACCTCCGCAGGCTCCATCTCATCGCTGCCTTTTCGCTTCGTCAACTCATTCAAGGCTTTGCTACTGTCTTGGATGTACACCTGGAACCGATTAAGATTCAAAATAAATAAAAATATATGCAAATAATAAAATGCCTCCCACCTTACATTTTTGTAAATCTAATAATCATCTAATAATCAATAAGCACTCAGCAATATTCCAGCTGTATGATGGTGTAAATAATCTGGACCAGATAAGCCAGTGATTGACATCATGAGCATCGATCCATGAAATTTGGATACAAATTCAGCGAGCCTGACCGCCCGATACCGTTAGTCGCCTCTTACAGCGAGCATGGGTTGCTGAAGACCTTTTCTAACCCAGATCTTCAAGGGGCCATCATACAGTGGACCTACCATGAGATCCTTGCTGGCAAAGAAGGGCCTCTCTGGTGATCCGTCGTTCATATCACAATCTTCACAGAAACATAACAGCAGCGCATCAATCACCATCTAAAATGTACAAAAGCAGCTATCAGTTTCTGCATTGTTGCCATACAATATATTGTCTTGGGTTCTAGTAGGTCAGCAGCATAATTTCTAAATGTCAAATTTCTACAGTAAGCTACCGAGTTATTCAATTCTGTGATTTGTTTAGGAATGTCTCATCATCAGGAGAATAAAAATACCTATGCATACATCACTACATTGTCAGTCAACAGAGAAGAGGAGATGCAATCTCCTAATTTCAATAGTTACACAGCCCTAAACTACTAGTTTTATTTCAAGGAAAATTAACTAATTGTTTAGCACACAAATGGAGTGAGTGAGTTTGGTTTTACGCCGCTATAGCAATATTCCAGCAATATCACGGGGGACACCAGAAATGGGCTTCACACATTATACCCATGTCAGGAATCGAACCCGGGTCTTCGGCGTCACGAGCTAACGCCTTAACCACTAGGCTACCCACCGCCCCTAGACAAATGGATGTTGAATCTTCTCACACTACTGAGCACCCTACCAAACCCCTGACATGTAGAGCCTCTAGGAACCTAATCAGTACAAATATTGACTGACTTTTATGATACACTCCAGCAGGATAACCAGCCAGGTGAATTATTTTAAATTCTTTCTTTGTCTCCCGAACCTCAATAGATCAAAGTTTAACTCACCTCATACACTGTCAAAAAGCTGTGAGCAACGAAGTACGCAAATACACAAACAAGCAGTACAGGAATGGCAAAGAAATGAAGATCAGTGCGACTCTGAAACAGGAAACAAGCATTAATTAACTCATGTCATGATGTCTGTGTATAGCAATGACTGTGTAACTCGATATCTTTAGGTACCCCATCAGCCAGGGGTCTGTCTAGCCTAGACATGATATCATCAGGTACGATGGTACACAATGTACCCAATCAACCAGGGGCCTGTCCGGCCTACACATGATATCATCAGGTACGATGGTACACAATGTACCCAATCAACCAGGGGCCTGTCTGGCCTACACATGATATCATCGGGTACGATGGTATACTTTTTGTTTGTCACACAATGTACCCTCTCACCCAGGGGCCTGTCTGGCCCAGACTTGATATGATCAGGTACAATGGTACACTTTTCACACAATGTAATCTCTCAACCGGTGGCGTGTCTGAGCCAGACTTGATATCATCAGTTACGATGGTACGCTTTCATCTGTCACACAATGTACCCTCTCACCCAGGGGCCTGTCTGGCCCAGGCTTGATATCATCAGGTACGATGGTACGCTTTTCACACATTGTACCATAACCAGGGGCTTGTATGGCCAAGGCTTGATATCATCAGGTACGATGGTACGCTTTTCACACATTGTACCCCATCAACCAGGGGCCTCTCTGGCCCAGACTTGATATCACACATTCTACCCCAATGTACTTGATGTTGTCAGGTACCATGGTACACTTTCATTCGTCACATATTCTAATCATATTTCCATCATATAAGTCAGCATGTACAACAAGCAAGATGGCCTAGGACTACGACTGTCAGAAGTCTATGTTAAAAAACAAGCGTTATCTTCGTCTTAGTGCTAACATCGGTCATAGAGCGGGGCCTTGGTGTTTGGTGGTATTTATGACAGACATTTTATCGCAAGTGAATAAAGCAATCATGCCTTGTGGAAAATGTTTTTCCTGCTATACAGTCTTTATAAAATTGTTCAAAAATAGCATTCTACTGCAAGAATACACAAAGATTACCTTCAACCACATTATTCCAACAGCAGCTGTGGCCCCCATGACACCCAGTTTCCCAAGGAAGAGCATGAAGTCCCCTATACTGTTGATGGCGGCCACTCGTAATGAGTTGCTCACCAAGATTATAAACGCCTGGAAAATAAAATAAAACAGTGAATGTAACACTTGCTCATAAACCACAACAAACATCCTGCCTCAATGAGTGAGTCAGTGAGTATGGTTTTACGCCCCTTTAGAAATATTCCAGCAATATCACGGAGGGGGACACCAGCAATGCATTTGAATAATGTTTCATAAATAGATTCATATTTTATGATTTGTGATTTTAATTTGATTTTGAAGTATCAAATCATGTACAGATGATTATATTTACACTGTCTCTCATTTGGAGCAATTTCCCGAAAAAGCTGCTGTATTCAAGGGGAGATAATCCCAAAACATTTACAATTTAATTGTTTGAGACATTAATTTTTAATAAAGAAATAAATTTTTCCATAATAAATCGTTTAGAACTAACTGACTGAACTACTAAAATCTATAAATAATATAAGGGTAACGCTATTTTCCAGGATATTATCATTTGCAGAAGTTCCATTAACTGCCCAATGAAGGAGGGCAGTTGAAAAGACCGAGGGCTTCTGCAAATGATAATGCCCTGAAATATAGCGTTACCGTTATTATAGCTAAAATGGATAGAATTTAGTAAGTAAGGATAAGATATATGGATAACATCTTCTTTATTACAATTAGTAGCGATGTTTCGGTGTAGGTTCTAACACCACTATCAAGCAAGTGATGTACAGAGTATGGTTGACAAGTATATATACAGGATAGGAGGCAGTGTTTATACAGTTGAATAGGTTTAAGATGCGAAGGTTGGATAGAATTTGTTATCAAATAAAAAAAACAACGATATCGGTTTTGAAACATTTACTGCAATCAACACGAATGTCACTGACCCACTTTTCCAGATATGGAAATATCATAGAAAAAAACCAGATGACGTCACTATTCAACGTGGCGTCACCTATCCCTATGACGTCACATAACAACGGGCATAATAATGGCCCGTCATCAAGCAATATGAGGGCATTATCAAGTTACAGTGGTCCACTCATTTCTGATAACATGTGGGTGCTTTAATGATAATTCTATCCATTTTAGCTATAATTATCAATAATGTCTACAACCAAATTATCAAGATTAAAAAACACTTACCCTCTTTGCTGATTTGCAGAAATTTTTACCACTAATAGCTGGAAAGAGAAAAAAATTACATTGATAGCTATACTCAATATCAGTGAGTGAGTGAGTGAGTATGGTTTTACACAGCTTTTAGCAATATTCCAGCAATATCACGGCGGGGGACACCAGAAATGGGCTTCACACATTGTACCCATGTCGGGAATCGAACCCAGGTCTTCGGCATGACGAGCGAACGCTTTAACCACTAGGCTACCCGACCGCCCCCTCAATATCAATATGTGTCATGCAGTTATAATGCAACATTGTGTAACATGCATGTAGCCTTTACTTGGAAGAAGAGGATCAATGTATTGATAATTTTACTTCATCAGTGGCAACTGTGTAAACCAGAATGCTTGTTCACGTGATGATTATACACAGAAAATAGGAAACTACGGGACGACAAGTTTGCATATTATTCCAGAAAGAGGTTAATCATGAGCAATTTTTTTCTGAAATTTATTTTAGGGTTGTTTTTTATTTTAAGTTTGATCCAAACTAAACAATGTGTTGCGACAGACGGTGGCAGGTCTATATAGCCATTGTGTATCTGACTGTAGAGAAACCGTGTTACTGATCTCATATATATATGTCTGTGACAATATTGCTCGTTGCCATGGTTTCATCAGAAAGGAAGCAATGCAATGTTTGGATGCATATTGAAAGCAAAATGGTAATATTCAATAAAAGTGCGTACACATTTAGGTTAAATATGAACCAACAAAGGGGAAAATGGTGGTATTTAATACTAACTGGGGGGGGGGTATGAAGACCTGCCCAGGCCTATATTCGACCCGAAGTCTGCAGAAAATGTCAGTAATAATTCCCAAATTTCCCCATTCATGTCATTGTAGTTATATTGTTATGTTTTTTTAGAGGTGACTTGTATTTCAAAGGTGAAAAAGGTAACAGTCATGTTGACTCTACATCACTTTCTGAGCATCAGACTGTATCATTTCATGATTTTACAAAAGGCATAGGGACTGTCAGCACATCACAAAGATATACCATTTCACTGATAACAGGACCAATAACGGGGATCGAAGAGGCTTTGAATGTTTAATTATACAATACTGCACTGAATGAAATGTTAAAATAACTGAATTTAGGGGAAAATATTTTTTAAAATCCCAATTTTGAACAAAATAAAAACAAATCCTAACCTAAAAGGAAATATATATGTGCAATACCTGGGGGTGCACATCATTGTTCTATACCAAATTACAAGAACCTATATTCAATATTTGGGTGGAGAATACTGACCCACGAGGGATTATATTCAATATTTGGGTGGGCAATTCTAACCTAGATGTATATTCAACATTTGGGCGGAGAATACTGACCTACAAGGGTTTATATTCAGTATTTGGGTGGACAAAACTGGCCAATAATGTTGTTTATTACCCAAGTGGTGAAGATACAGGTGGTAAGATACTAAATGTGTAGTACAAGGTGGGCCTCGTTTTATTTGTTTTGATTGGATAACTGTAACATCTGTCGAACCGGAACTACTTTTTTCATTCATAAAAAATTCACAAGACCTTATTCACTTTTACAACTACATGGCAGAACTGAAGGAATCTCATGAAAGCGAGAGACATTTACACAATCTTTATTAATCCAAACAAGATAATCACACGACTCAAATTAGCTTTGGATTCCATATTAGTTATGCATAGAGCTAGGACAGACATTATATAATCGAGCTATATACATTTACAATGTACGACTACCGATAGATGAAGGGTCCCTATGAGCGTGATCCACCTAACCACTTTTGCGACTTTCAATTTGATTTTACGTAAAAGGTTAAGCGTGGTGTAAGCGTATTTTGTGACATTGTTTCCGAAGGTGTTGATTTATGAATGAACAAAACGACTGCATAACCAGATCACTTAAAGTGAACAAATCATTCGACTCTGTGGAAGTGTGCCTGACTTCTGTTTTTGTGGCCCAAAAGATCCCAAATGAGAACAATGACATTAGTGATCTCTAGCGTAAAACGATGAGAGTAGATTACAGTTCTCTTTTCTTATTCCAATGGTGACCTTTCCCTTCATTCGAAGCTGTCACTAACAAGCAAGCAGACTAGAGTTTGTTGATTTCCACATCTTCAGTATAGGGTCGTACAGTTAACATAAATGTCTTTGGCGAACACTCTGATTTCCCTCTTCCCAAATGGTACAGAAAGGATTTTAATTCAGCTGATAGATCAAGGAAACCGAACCATTTTGATTGCACAGTTGGGACCTGGTTGGTGCCAGTGACAGAGTGTTGATCTGAGATTCAAAGTGCAGCGCTATTTGACTTTTTAAGTTTTCTTACAGTTGTCCTGCGTACTAACAACAATGCGCTTGAATTACCATTAATTGAAGAAATTCTAAAAAAAGGATCTTGAGTTTTGGTGCTGTCATGTTTACACACACAACAGCAGGAACATGTTGTTAATGCGTATGCATAGAAATGTCAACAACGCCCATACTTGGACATATATCAATATTCATGAGCAACCAGATTTGTAACCGGTTTCAGTTGGGTATGCTTATATACATATTTAATATGGGTAATAAATAAAATACCACACTCATTCTCGTCAGATACCATAGAAAGTACACACGTTTCGTAAAAATGGTATCTAAAGAGGATGAGGACAATACTGACCAACAAGGATGTATATTGAGTATTGGGGTGGACAATACTGACCAACAAGGAATGTAGATTCAATATTTGGCTGGAATACTGACCTACAAGGGTGTACGCATTAGCGTTTAAGTATTTGAGGCACTTCTCCACACACCACAGACAGCAGATGCAGCACTTCATACAGAACTGGGCACAACTGTTCTCTGAAGTTTTTAATCTGTAGAAAAAAGCATATATGGATGAAATAGTTACCAATTTCATTAGTCTATTTTGCATATAAGTGAGTTGCTGTGTTGGGATTGACACTGCTTGGATCAATATTTCATCTGTAAGTCAGTTTCTTGTGGGAGGAAAGCCCAAAGTCATGCTGGACATTGGTTTGGTTTGTTGTTTTACGCTGCACTCAGCAATATTCCAGCTATATGACTGTAAATAATCAAGTCTGTACCAGACAATCCAGTGATTGACATCATGAACATCGATCAATGCAATTGGAATTGATGACATGCATCAACCAAGTCAGCGAGCCTGACCACCTGATCCCGTTAGTCGGCTTTTACGACAAGCATAGTCGCCTTTTACGGCAAGCATGGGTTGCTGAAGACCTATTCTACCCCGGATCTTCACGGGTCTGCTGGACATTGACGTTTATCACAGGTGAAATCCACTAGCATGGGTTTGGTGCTGACAACCCTAGCATCATAATCGGGATCTCGATTAGCTGATCCTGGCACAACTAAGGGATGCAACTCTACAGTTAAAGGGAATACCAACTTACTTCTTATTTAAGTACATGAGTATCATCCTCGGCATCTTGATGAGAGTGATGACGAGCGACCCCAGCGCCACCGAGCCCAGGTGGTAGATAACGAGACGACCAATAGACACGCAGATTGCACATTTTATAGACTCCTTGTCCCTGCAATAATTAACAATACATTGTCATTGAAAGTGTTAGGCTTTAATGCATGAAAAGCTTTAAAGTGTAAGGAGTCTGCAAAATATCTCAGGAAAACTTTAAATGACACAGATTGTGACTTTGGTGAAACCATGATTATCGTTATGGAAGACTCATGACTGTTAGGCCCTTGCACAGCCAAGCAAGCATTTATCTGAAATTCCAAACCAAGTGCCCCTGGGAGGAAAATCGGGAAAAAAAAACTCTGTGCAAAATCGAGATTTATAACAATGATGCCTATTTATTGGTCATTTTATCAATGAAATACAAGTCACCTCCACAGAGCCATATATTTGATATAAACATTTTAGCATGAATTTCTTTACCCCAATTTGGGAATTCTTATTGCCATTTGCTGCAGACTTCTGAACATCGGAGATTCCAACAACAAAGCCATGAAGGGGAGATAAGTCAGAATAAGTCGCTGTTAACTCAATCCCAAAGTAACAATGAAAACAGTGCACCATATTCCAACAATTGTTAAACAACCCCACACCCTCCATTCTATTTAGAATTTCAACTAGATCAATTTCTTTTCTTGGCCAGTGATGGTAAAAAAATATAAAAACAAAGCAAAGAGTGAGCAGGTTTCACTAATTCCCCAACTTCAAATCCAACATATTTCTAAGTTCAAAACATGAAAAAAAAGCAATATTTTCTCAGAAAATCCACTTTTCGAAATCAATCTTTACACTGCACCCCTTCTATTAGAATGGAAACTGTTCGCAAAATTTGAAAAGAATGCATGCATTAATTTTCAAGTTATAGGTCACATAAATGTTTAATTAAAACAATTCTAAGTAAAATTATGAAAAATGGGTGTATATTTTTCAGAAAATCCAACTATTGAAATCCAACTTCATACTGAACCTCTCCTATTGGTAGAGAAAGTGCTTACCAAGTTAAAAAAGAATCTATGCAGTAGTTTTCAAGTTACACAAAAAATGAATTCCTTGGTATAACTATATATCCCTGCCCTTTTAGGAGGGGACATAAAATCAATTCAACAACTGTGCCAATGGAGGAATGCATTACCAAACTGGTCGACAGATAGCTAAATTTAATAGCAATAAAACAATGCTATTATTACTGAGGTTTTGCCCTTTTTCATAAACCATATACTATAAATATGAACGTTTGGTTGATCCTGTCAATTCATCTTGATGTCCTTAATGTTTCCTTACCTTGTAAAGTACCATGTGGCCACAGCTCCAGAGATAACGAGCTGCTGACAGGCGATGATGAACTCGCCCGTCCACACCAGCCCTATCGCGTGGTACCACCAGAAATACGACACATTTTCATGTTCGATGTACTCCACAAACTTTGTACTCTTGTTTATTGATACCTTTTCTGAAACAAGAATAACAAAAGTGTAAATATTAATTCCGTCTCACAATAAACCTCGTTCAATTACAATGTTGGAATCTCAGGTTGATGTGTGAGTCATGGGTTGATGTGTGAGTCATGGATTGATGTGTGAGTTGTGGGTGGATGTGTGTCATGGGTTGATGTGTGAGTCGTGGGTAGACGTGTGAGTCATGGGTTGATGTGTGAGTCGTGGGTTGATGTGTGAGTCATGGGTGGATGTGTGAGTTGTCGGTGGATGTGTGAGTCATGAGGTGAGGTGAGGTGAAATTGGGTTTAACGTCGCGTCCAAGATTATTGCACTTATATAGCGACGTGCATGCACATGTATGTGTGTGTGTGGCTGCTTGTACTAGTCCGGACTGATGCCGATTTATAGTGCTAGCTCACTGAGATACCATGCCGCAGTTTAACATGAATACCCCACTCAGACACAGTATACTGACTCCGAGCCGACCAGTCCTTGTTTTAGCCCCTTAATGCCGAGCGCCAGACAGGGTAACAACAAGTACAATCTTTTAATGTCTTTTTGTATGACGCGGTCGGGGATCGAACCCCGGACCTTCCGCTCTCCGGGCGGACGCTCTACCACAAGACCACGGAGGCGGTCTGTGAGTCATGGGTTGATGTGTGAGTCATGGGTGGATGTGCGAGTCTTGGGTGGATGTGTGAGTCATGGGTTGATGTGTGAGTCGTGGGTGGATGTGTGAGTCGCGGGTGGATGTGTGAGTTGCGGGTGGATGTGTGAGTCATGGGTGGATGTGCGAGTCTTGGGTGGATGTGCGAGTTATGGGCTGATGTGTGAGTTGTGGGTGGATGTGTGAGTCATGGGCTGATGTGCGAGTCATGGGCTGATATGTGAGTCGTGGGTGGGTGTGTTAGTGATGAGTTGATGTGTGAGTCATGGGTGGATGTGTGAGTCATGGGTGGATGTGCGAGTCGTGGGTGGATGTGCGAGTCATGGGCTGATGTGTGAGTCATGGGCTAATGTGTGAGTCACAGACTGATGTGTGGGAGTCGTGGGCTGATGTGTAAGTCATTGACTGATGTGGAAGTCATGGGCTGATGTGGAAGTCATTGATGGATATGGGAGTTCTGGTCTGATGAGCAGCATAAAACCATATTTACTCACTCTTTAGACAGAAAAGATCTCGACCACACACCTCAATCGGAACCAAGACATTATGTAAAGGCAAAATACTCTATTGCCAACCAGAAACAAGGATCATTATCCACCAAAACATTTATAAGACACTGATAATCACAAACTTTGACACCTTAAATATCCATCCCATTCAAAATATTCATGAAGCTATGTTTGATATAAAACATTTCAGCAACCAGGCCGAGATTTTGACTTTACTAACACACTGAAATGAGATAGACTTCAATGAAGAGCACCATCTCTTCCAAGGAGCAATAAACATCGCTACAGGTGTAATGGATGACCTTTCCATCTTGTTCATTTCAATCGAGGAGAGGACTAATATTGACCAAGAGTTTTTTCCACCGCACTAAAAGCCCTTAATTGCATCTCAAAAGTATGTAGAGACTAGCTCTGCACTTAACATGGTGCTTAGTTCAATACGATATTTTCTGGGGAATTTTTTGTCCAGGACAAAACAAACAGAGTGAGATATAGATTGAGCCAACTTTTATTGTCCCTGATGATGGACCTGCACAAAGTGTTATTAATTACAAATGGAAGAGGTTGTGGGTGACATACACTTCAGGTTTCAATTGGGTAACAGAAACTGGGTTGGGTCAATTCCACTTGGTTGAAAAATATCTGTGCTAGATACTGGAGCTCACTCAATAAACATTGATAATATCTGAAATAAACTAGTCGGACCGAAATTGGCCCTGTGATATGTAGAACCATGTCTGTTTGTGGAGCACATATTCATGGATTGTCACACTATCTAAGTCTCACTTAACCAATTACATTGAGATGTGTGGGGTGTGTGGGGTGGGTGGGATAGTGAGTGAGCGAGTGTTTGAGTGAGTGTTTGAGTGGTGGAGTGATTGGTGGAGTGATTGGTGGAGTGATTAGTGGAGTGAGTGAGTGAGTAGGGGAGTGAGTGAGTGTGTAGGGGAGTGAGGGAGTGAGTGAGCGAGTGTTTGAGTGAGTGTTTGAGTGGTGGAGTGATTGGTGGAGTGAGTGAGTGAGTAGGGGAGTGAGTGAGTGTGTAGGGGAGTGAGTGAGTGAGTGTTTGAGTGAGTGTTTGAGTGGTGGAGTGAGCGGTGGAGTGGTTGGTGGAGTGAGTGAGTGTGTAGGGGAGTGAGTGAGTGAGTGTTTGAGTGAGTGTTTGAGTGGTGGAGTGAGCGGTGGAGTGGTTGGTGGAGTGAGTGAGTGAGTAGGGGAGTGAGTGTGTAGCGGAGTGAGTGAGCGAGTGTTTGAGTGAGTGTTTGAGTGGTGGAGTGATTGGTGGAGTGAGTGAGTGAGTAGGGGAGTGAGTGAGTGTGTAGGGGAGTGAGTGAGTGAGTGTTTGAGTGAGTAAGTGTTTGAGTGAGTAAGTGTTTGAGTGAGTGAGTGAGTGAGTGAGTGAGTGAGTGAGTGAGTGAGTGAGTGAGTGGGTCATTCAGAATTAGCTGCCTACGTTTTGACCCAGGTTACCCATCGCCTCTCTAATACTTGAGAGAAGTGATATCTATCCTTGTCCTGTATAAAACTGAATGATATTGTAAATATTTCACAAGGCTTCACATTCTGTTCCATGCTGCACAGACAGAGATTTGGGCCTAAACAACATCTGGGCCACCTTGCTTCAGTCACACACGCTCTGTGCTGACAACTGGTAAAAAAACATGGGCAAGCATGGCTTGGAGAGATCATAACCAGTCGGAAATTGGGATTCAAACCCACAATTGTAGGATCCTGGCAAGTTGTGACACATGTCCATCTGTGCCCCCATTACTGTACTGGTCACTGACCAGTTAGCGCCATTTTTTTCATGTTATTTCTGAAATATTCCTTGTACAAAGTTAACTGTACAAATATCTTTGATTTGTGTGAAACCATGAGCCAATGTGCGTAAATCTGTCTGTAGAAAAAACTCAGTAGATTTCTGTTATAATGTGACAACAGGGAATCAAAACAGTGGAAACAGAAATTTCCCAACTGTACGAGTTATCGCCATCTTCTAACAGCATGTGCCACGTGATCACACTCATCGCTTCAGTTATACATATTACACTTTCTATTTTCTCTGGTATTGCACTCCATTTTTATATTCATTAAAAATTAAAAAGAAATGCTTTTTTCAATTTGTCGTCTGCACACTGTACACCAATATTCCCCAAATTCGATTTCCACATGCTTAACCTCAAACACTATGTACTATGGATTTCATGATATATACAGGGTTATGCTTTTGTGGAAAAATAGCTCAAACAGGTTTTAATTTGGGGAAGAAATGACTCACAGATAGTAAGCTATAACAGAACTGAATGTGCATCATCGTGGTGTTGGATTTTTGTTTGCGAAACGACACCTCCTGTCACGTGACACCTCCCGCGTGTCTCTTCTAAAGCTGTATTTGAGCAAAGTGATTATATGGTTGTTTTTTAATATTTATTCACAAGAGTCAATTTTGTGCATCATTTTTGTATAATATTTCTCTCTTCTAATGAAACCGAGCAAAAGTAAAACGAGATGCGATCATAGCTATAACGGGGAGTTAGTGATAATTGGTCCTCGGTGATAACTGGTCGTTAGCCAGTTCAGCAAGTAAATGTAGGAATATGAATGATACATGTATGTACATGGCTATCCATCTGCTGTTAGAATATTGATTGGAAACAAAATGCGTGTTCTAAAAGCATTTATGCAAGATGCATCACACCAGCCTCTATTTCACTTTTTACTAAATATTGATAACATGGTGTATATTTCACCCACTTACCACAAAGAAGCAGTTCACCTATCACACAAACTATTACTTCCTATATAGGCATGTGTGTGTATATTTCATATCATGTTAAACATTTATTAAACAGTGTATTTATTTTGGCATGTTGTTCATTTTGCCCAATTACAACACAGAACGGTATGATATAATGCATATTTCACACAAATAAGTTTATGATATATATTTTGCTCTTTCTACAAAGACATATGATACATTGTATATTTTATCTCATTAAAAACTATAAAATGGTGTATATTTCACTGTATTTCTACACACATATGATACAATGTTTATTGCATCTCATAATAAAACAGTCATGAAATGGTGTATATTTCACTGTATTTCTACACACATATGATACAATGTTTATTACATCTCATAATAAAACAGTTATGAAATGGTATATATTTCATGTTGAAAAAAAACATTGTGGATATGGTGTACATTTCACCCACTAACGACATAGACAGGTATGCTATGATGTTGATTCCACCCACCTGCTGTCGCGAGATATATGAGCACTATGACCCAGTAGACGAAGAAGATGAGAAGGATGAAGAACGTCCAGATGGGCTGTGCCAGGAGACAGGGCATTGAGCTGATACATTTCCCTGCTTCGTGGAACAGCGCCACCACCAGCGAGATGCGCTTCCTCATCACCAGGATCACAAGCAGCAGGATCACCTGAAATCAGAACGTGGTAGTGTGAGAGAACGAGTGAATTCAGTTACATCTACAGCTCCAGATATACAGGTAACCACAGAATGGGGATCACATAGGTCATTGAAAAACTTCCCAACAGTAATACCTTTTTTTCAAAAACAAAATTCATGTCTTAACTTATTGTAACATAGTGTTGAAAACCATTGTTGATTGTGTAATATGTGTAAAAAATTACACATTTCATAATAAAATCTGTTAGGTGCCACTTCTAAAGTTTATGAATTGTCTTATACTTAAAATCTATTTTTATGTGCCTTTCAGCACAATTCTGAAGGTTCAGATAAACAAAAAGATACAACAATAAAAACAAAACAAAAAACTTGATGTAATAAACCCTAAATGATCAAACAAAACCCTCAAAGTTGCCGTAAACAAGTAAATATCCTGAGTTTTAATTAGATTAGAATTTTCCCCTGCTAAACCCACTGACCCAATATTGTCTCAAACAAATAATATTTAGAGCTTCACAAAGTGTTTATATCAACATTCCAGAATAACTAACTTTTATTTTTTGTTTAATGCCACACTCAGTAATATTCCACCTATATGAAGGGGGTCTGTAAATAATGGAGTCTGGACCAGACAATCCAGTGATTGACATCATGAGCATCGATCCACACAATTGGGATACGATGACAAGCATCAATCAAATCAGTGAGCCTGACCACCCGACCCAGTTAGTCGCCTCTTACGACAAGCATGGATTGCTGAAGACTAATTCTAACCCAGATCTCCACAGGTGAATAATTAACTACCCATTCATGCTTCTTGGTTTATAGCTTCCAAGACGTTTTATGGAAGACATGTGGAGGACATTTCCAAATTGGACGCATTAGTGACAAAAATGATGTCTGATGCAATTCCTTATTTTGACTTGTACAATATGTTCTTTCCATATGAATATGCCTTGCCTTTGCATGTGTTTGTGACAGGTGTCACTGGTGGGACAGGTGACACTTACCTTTTCGCGAACACCTGGTATTATTTCTATTTGATAGTGATTTATAAACACATGCTCATGAAAAAAGTCGGAATCGTGCAATCAACTCTGCTTTTGGCAGCGATTCCTTATGAATATGGAAAGGGTTTTGCCACTTTTATTTATTATTATTTACTATTATTATTGATCAATCTGTGAAATTCAAGACAGAAAGAGTATGGCCTGAGGTGTGCTAGATATTAATAGTTACAGCCTAGCGTGTGAAACATTGAGGACAGGTCCGAGTGCTAGATATCAATATTGACGGCCTAAAGTGTGAAACTTGCTCTGGCCTAAGATACAACACAACACACAGGAAGCATGGAGGATGGGTCCAAGTGCCAGATATCAATACTGATAGCCTAAAGTGTGAAACTTCCTCTGGCCTAAGATACAACACAACACACAGGAAACATTGGGGACACATGCTAGATATCAATATTGACGGCCTAAAGTGTGAAAAATGTTCTGGCCTAAGATACAACACAACACACAGGAAGCATTGAGGACAGCTGACACGGGCCAGATATCAATACTGACGGCCTAAAGTGTGAAACTTGCTCTGGCCTAAGATACAACACAACACACAGGAAACATTGGGGACACATGCTAGACATCAATATTGACGGCCTAAAGTGTGAAAAATGTTCTGGCCTAAGATACAACACAACACACAGGAAGCATTGGGGACACATGCTAGATATCAATATTGACGGCCTAAAGTGTGAAAAATGTTCTGGCCTAAGATACAACACAACACACAGGAAGCATTGAGGACAGCTGACACGGGCCAGATATCAATACTGACGGCCTAAAGTGTGAAACTTGTACTTACTGTCAAAACTGATGCAATGATGGAAAACGTAAGGAAGGTGTTTTCACTACTGATCTCAACGTCCAGCAGGGGAATCTTCAGCTTGAAGTCATTGTCCAGTTTGTTTTTGACACTTGCATATGTCCACCAGAGAAAAGCAGTACCCGCTGAAATAGTACACAGCATTTAAAACATAGCACCAAGATACTGTAGCTCTCCTGGGCCCACTTGCACAAAGCGATCTTAGAGCTAAGATGATCTTAACTCCCATACTTTAACATAGGCTTACAATAGTCTTAGCGCTAAGATGATCGTAACTCCCATACTTTAACATAGGCTTACAATAGTCTACTACTTCAGGAAATTGGGTCCATTATAAATGTTTTACAACGTATCATCAGCTGACAGGGCATGGTGTTTGATGTGAGGACTGTTGCATCAACGTTATTTTCTTTAATATTTAAAGACCAATGTTGGAGTTTCAAACATTGATATAAATGATCATCTCATCTGGAACAATAGTTTTTAAGATATAAAGTGTTTTAATTTCCCAGCATCATCAACATGGCAAAAGATGTAAATCATGGAGCGTAAAGAGAGTTGTGACCACACTACAGCCACTATAATCTACAAAAAGTTCATGTGAGCAAATAATTTGGGTTTAATGCTGCTTTGAACAAACATTTTAAATAACATCAATCTCAATCACTGTGATACATTGTCGTACCATTATAAAGCATGTTATACAAACATTTCCATGACAACACAAACTTTTCTTTCTCTGTATTTCGAAAATTTGCAAATGAAGAAACTAGGTTATTTTTTTTGGTACATTTAATTTTTCAAAAGGTTTAAATCTATTATTTTGAATCCAGTCCCACAAAATAGGTCCATTTAATGTATCAATACATTGAAAACATGCAAGCAACAACATTTCCTGAATACAATCATTTTGGACAGAAATATGTTTTTATAATTTCGCAGAAAATCTTGCAATAGTTTTTATTTCCTTTGATCTGAGTGAACAATACTCACTTCAGACAGACCGAAATCCCCAAGCATCCTTCTGGTCATATTAAATTTTGAACATGCTCGTTAATTATTTGCAATACATTTTTATGGGGAAACTTAATATCTCCTTCCTGTAATATTTGATCCCTTGAGGAAACAGCGGACAGAATAACGAGACATTGTATTCCAAAGCTTCCTGTTCACCTGATGATATTCATTGCAAATGTCAACAAGATTGCTGTACACATAGGTAACATCTGATAGTTTCTTAGCAACATCTTCAAATGTTGAACTTGTATTGGCTAATGCATGTTTTCTTATTAACACTTAAATGTCAATCAAATTTTCTTAGAAGATTTAAGTGAAATATTTTTCTAATTAATTTTCCATTTTACATAAAATAAAAATTCTAATTTGAAAATGTAATTTAAAAAATAGTAAATATTTATCCTAATCAGTAATTCTGATTAAAAAATGTCCAGATATTGACTCTAATGAGAAATGAAGTAAAGAAACTATAATTCCATATGAATGATAGCCATACAATATCCTCTATTAGCCAAGCCTAAAGCTTACCATGACAATGTTTTCAGTAATCAAATTAATACAGACCCATAAATCTCAAAACAATATCATCCAAACAATCCGGCAAGCAAATTAATCCTCAATCTTATCTGATATAATACGCAGGCAGATAGCACAAATTTGATATAATGCAAGTATATCTTCAGTGTGGTCCTGAGAGACCTAACACCTAGCCCTGAACATATTTCTCTGTAACTTCTCCCGACTTGTAACAGCACCTGTGATAACACACCAGGCCAATTCCAGAATACCTGGAATTGTCCAAGAGGTCGACGAGCATTCCTGATGGGGCTGCCCCACCCTAGGAGATATACACAGGTGTAGGATACTGTAGGCACCTGTAGGAGAAACGTGGGGGAGGTATGGGGGAAGGGGGATGTGTTATGTGGACCGAGGAAATCCCAAATTCCATCCTCTGAAAAATCTTGGATCTAATCTTGCTTGTTGAGATGGAAGGGAAACAGGAGGCTAATGGTCAGTCTTGACCACATGTTGACCCATCAGCAAGTACCTCACTCTTGGTTGTCTCCCCCCCGGAAAGGGTAATGAGATGGAACAATCGGAGAGAAAGTTAACATTTCACAAGAATCCATCTCAGAGGCAGTAATTCTACATTTGTTTCTAAAAATGTGAGGGAGGACAGTTTTCGTAGAAGTTAAATCATGGCTGCCATGCTATCTTCATTTCATGGAAATTGTTTCCCATAAAACTACTTCCAAATGCAATAAAAACAACGCTTGCTATCAGATTGTACTTTCATAGGAAGTCAAAATGTGCTGTATCAAAAAACCCAGACAATGTTAGCGATTATTCAAATAATCCTCGTATGAATTAAGGTCGTGTTACAGGACAATAGATCATAAAAGTAAAAGCCATTGCATGTCGGCTTCCATTACCGGGTTAGACATTAGGAAAATGATACAGTTTAATGTAATGGGCATCCGTAATTTACCAAAAATCTAAGGACCATACATGCGACTTTGGCCATCACGGAGAAACAATAACGTGGTCGTATGACAAAGTTGCAAGACCCATGCCTGCTTTCACTGCATAATTCGTTCCGTGTTTAACAGAGTCAACAAAACTGATCCAGTGCGATCATTAAACAATCTAACGACATCGGGAAATAGCATTGGCCGGTCTAGCTCCGAGTCATGTATCAGGCTGTCAATACTGGGAAGGGTCATAATGAAATCTACACCAATCAACACGATGGAGCTGAAATATGGGGGGATAACACCAGGATGTGATTGCCAATTAAACACAACAATATGTGACAAGTCAAACGCAGGTGAATTATCGCTCGGAGCCCACTTACCTAAGCTTGCAATGATGACGACCCCCAAGATCAGCCAAACAATTACTGACGCAAAGAATCGGATCAGCAACGCCATTATCAAGGCAAAAACTGCGGGAAAGCAACAAAATGCACTCTCAATATCGTAGTAAATAGCTGCAGAGACTTCCGTCCCCAGACACAAATTGCAAGGTCGCATAGCAATTTACAAAACCGTCTTGTTTTCACCAGCGCCAGAGGATTTTAAACTTTGTCATGGTGGTTGATTTAGATTCACGCCAACGCATGGTGATCTGTGAAAATTGCACCAAATTGTCCACAGCATAATGATAGAGATTAGACGGTCGTGGAGGTATTGTTTATAGGGCCGAGACAAGTGACAGGTCATATGTCATTGTAATTATCATCATTATTTTCATGATTTCTTCATTTATAAAGATCAATTCTTGGTTTAGTAGTGATAAGGGCTAAATCCAAACAAATGGCCGGCATTCAAGGACTACAGAAATTTCTGCTTGTCAAGAAGCATGTCTGGGAAAAGGCAGAGTGGTTCCTCCAAGAACATAATGGTACTGGCGCCAATGAAAACACATGCTGACAGTGAAAGACATACATATATAAAGTGACACTGATCAAAACACAATAGAATCATGAATGAGTGAGTCTAACGCCGCTTTGAACAGTATTTCAGTCAAGTTTTGTTTGTTTGTTGTTTAATGCCGCACTCAGCTATATGACGGCGGTCTGTATATCGAGTCTGGACCAGACAATCCAGTGACTGACATCATGAGCATCCATCCACGCAATTGGGATTCGATGACATGCATCAACCAAGTCAGCGAGCCTGACCACCCAATTCCGTTAGCCACCTCTTACGACAGTGATGTAAATCTTCACAGCAAATGGTGCTATACATTATATGGCAGTCCATGGTGCCGCTGTACAAAGCCATCTTAGCACCAAGGTTTCGTAACTCCCATACCTAAACACAGACTTATGACAGTCGTAGAGCTAAAGTTGTTTTGTACAACGGCACCCATGTCCCCAGCAATGGAACAGATTACCATTCACATATATGAATAGAAACACTGGTGCCTCTTTAAGGCCCAAACTGGAATAATAATAATAATAATAATAATAAAAATAATAATAATAATAATAATAATAATAATAATAATAATACATGTTAATTTCAACCATGCACATGAATATCATCCCTAGGATGTACATTTTGTTTTAAGAGCATCAGTGTGCTGTTGTACAAAGCAATCTTAGCGCTAAGGTGGTCGTAACTCCCATGCCTAAGCATAGACTAATGACAGTCACAGCGCTAAGGTAGTTTTGTACAACAGCACCCAGGTGGTTACAAGAGGTGATCGGGTTGACTTTGTGTCATTGTGTCAACGTTTGAATTGGTGCTCAGCTATCAATCACTGGTTGCCTGGCTCAGAACAGATTGATCCTGTGAAATAACTGGAATATTGCGAAAAACAACATTCATCTACTCAAACTAGTGAATACAAACATAAAGTTAAATTTGTGTATCTTCAGAAATTATATTTTATTCCACTTGACATTATGGGTGTCAGTTGGTTTAATGGAAAAATAAAAAACTACCTTTATTTTAAACCGAGGATGTACACTTCCTGTACAGTAAAAACCTTTTGACTATTGAAGTGACAAGTTAATTCTATTTATCAACATTTTCAATTGCCAGAAATTAAGCTATGACTTTGAAAAATTGATCTTACAATCTCTCGTTCATTTTGCTATTTTGTAGTTTTTTCTTGGCATTTTATTTTTCGAAGCGATGTAAACAGAATGAGCAGCCAAATCATTTTTGAGACAGTTTAGTCTTCAGTTATTGCCTGGTACAAGACTTTCACCTCTGGCTGGTCAGCCTATAAACTAGGCAGTAAGGAGTCCATTCATCAGAGCTGGGACTATTAAGTTACAGCACAGGCGTTAAAACAATCCTAGTCTAGGTGACAAGGCCAGAGCCCCGTCTTGGCCAGGAGTGGAAGGACTCTTGTAAGTCTACAGTAAAGTGGTTATAAAGATATAACACAACATAAATCTCCATAAGGTTAAATCAGCACACACAACTAATTCTCAACTGATTTAATTTCTACATGATTGAAAATGTTAAAGGTTTTTTTATTGTGTTAAAGTTTTTTTATTGAGTGTGTTTTTAACAATAATGACACCAAAGTATGTGAAATAACAATTCTTTTTAAAAAAGGGCACAAACTAATATTGATGCCTTGTTGAAATGAATTTATAATTTTGTTCATTTATTCATTAAAATAGACATCATAAAACATGGAGACAGAGAGAATGGAGTGAGTGAGTGAGTATGGTTTTACGCCGCTTTTAGCAATATTCCAGCAATATCACAGCGGGGGGACACCAGAAATGGGCTTCACACATTGTACCCATGTCGGGAACAACGTGTCTTCAGCGTGACGAGCGAACCTTTAACTACCAGGCTACCCGACCGCCCCCAGAGAGAATGGAAACTCATGAACAATGAGCTCCCCTTTTCATGAATACCTTGCCAGGTATCATCACTATTTGATACAGATTTGTAAAGCCATGCTCATCATGGAAATGTTTTTGTCACTTTAATTACGATTACTTTTTAGTTAGATTATGAAATAGGCACACAATCACGTTAACTGTGAAAGCTATGTAAACAGTTTTGCTGAATATCATTGAAGTGTATCATGAAATGTCTTAATGGTTAGTATCGAATTCCTCATGAAACTTCTCATCTAACACCTCATCTACCCCACCCCAAGCCATAAACATCCACTGGAAGTAAGGTATTAATGTATCTTAATGTAGACACAATACTGACAATGAGCCTAATGTCTGAAAATTTAACACATTTTTACAGAAGTCGGGAAGCAATAAAAATAAACTACATAACAGAATTGCATGATTATCTTTCAAAGTGAAATAATCGATTTATTTGAAATCTAGCGTTAATCCACACATTTGGCTGGATCGTTTTATCTGTTTTTAAAGCTTGACATAGTATCATCTACGAGTCAGCATCACGCAACACAAACCAAATACATCCTCCCCAGAGTCGGATCCATTACAGCAGCAGCGTTCTGCCTCTCGCCTCTCCCTCCTCCCCATCTCCCTCCACCGTCACCCAGACCATGGTGCAACCACTAGTTTTAATCATTCTAAAGCCTATAATTACCCAGGGCAACTAATTAGGACCTAAGTTGGGTTTTTTTTCTTTTTCTTCACAAAATAAAACAAATCATGCCTTGGGAATAACTCATTTTCTTAAGTACCGGGGTATGTGAAGGTGAGGCGAGGTGCAATGGGGTTTAATGTCGCGTCCAAGTGCATTGCACTTATATAGCGACGTGCATGTACATGTTTGTGTATGTGAGTGTGGCTGCTTGTGCTAGTCCAGACTCGTGCCGATGTATAGTGCTAGCACACTGAGATACCATGCCACAGTTTAACATGAATACCCCACTCAGACTCCGTTTACAGACTCCAAGCCGACCAGTCCTTGTTTTAGCCCCTTAATGCCGAGCGCCAGAGAGGCACAAGAAGTGCCATCTTTTAATGTCTTTTGGTATGACACAGCCAGGGATGGAACCCCAGACCTTCCGTTTCCCCAGGAGGATGCTCTAACAATAGACCATGGAGGCGGTAATTATGTGAAGAACTGGAAATTTTAGCCTTTCAATTGAAACCATACTGTTTTCCTCCACACTAGTTTTAGAAAATATAAGATGAAAAACATTTACTTTCCAAAACATAATTTTGAAAGCTCTTATGCAAAACATGTCTGTATACATAAAATCTACAGATGTAAAACAGGAATTCAAAATTATAACACATTTAAAAAATAAAATATTTTATAAAAACAAATTAAAATTAATCAAACATTATAGTTAAGTAGAGGTATAATGTAATAAGAATAAAATATTTCTAGTTTTTCGAGACATTTTTTTTAAACAAAATTCAAATAACTTCTCATGATATTTAAAAGAACCTCCAATGTTATTATTCACACAACACATTTATGATGTTTGAAAGTTCAAACTTAAGGACCAACATTCTTTGTCATACTGCTCCCAAGTGCTTGAATACTTTCCCAAGTCATATTACAACAGAAACTTGTTTTTGTCAATTTCACTTTGTAATTGGACACCAAACTTACATTATGTATTTGTAATATCATACTATTAAAAGGTAATGTCAAATTATCTGAAACATATATCATCCACCTGAAGAACTTGAAGAATATAACTTGCTGCAGGAATTAGATTTCAGATTGTTTGAAATGTGATCTGACTACATACACTGCAATCTTTCTGATTGAAAAAAATTGAATTTTTGCCAAAAGAAAATTTATTTATTTCTCTCCATTTTATCTGTGCAGTTCAAACCTAAAGTGTTTTCTGTATGGCTGTTGTTGCGATATGTATCTATATATATATACTCTACAGCTGTGTTTAGCAACTTAATCTGAATAAAAGTACATCCAATATCTTAATGTCACAAAACAATATGGTAATTTTATTTTTTGTTAACTGAAGACTTCCTACAAGCAATATCCATGAAGCAGTGTAAAAACTTATGTTGGCAGAATTTGGCAAATATGCAAATATTTTGTCATACGTCCACTTGATTAATACAGTGACCTTTAGATAAGTCCATAGTTTGTGTGTACTGTGCCAGTTACAGTTTCCGTTATTAATGCGCTGTGATGTCAACTTTTTATCAGTGAGGCTCTATGTTTGAAGCCTTTTTCAAAAGCAATATTTCAGTCATATTACACAAGTCGACTATAAACGTTTAAGATTATTCCAGAATCTTTTGTATGCTGAATCTAATCTAATTTGATACCCAATAAGTTTTTTTAATAGAAATTTGTTTTATTGTTTTATTTTCAGATTGTGTGAGTGAGTGACTTTTTACATAGCTTAGGACAGTGAACAGCCAAATTGAATCTGTTTTGGCTTGAGACTGGTTATTCTCTTGCCTTGACGTTTTATATTTAAAGGTATTTAGATCATTGTGTCGGAAGAAACCTCAAAATGACAAACCATAAACATTTACTACTTTGGCCCTAC